AGAATCATTAATTGTAAGAATTTTCCAGGCCTAATACAAAATTCCTCAAGAATACACTGGCCAAATATATGGATCCATTTCAAGGAGGCTTTTTGCGGTTTCAAAAGTTTGCGGCTACCCGTCAAAATATTGAAATATGAAACTGTTAAAAGATGTTTGCCACTGTTATCTTTTTTAAACAAATGCTCTTAATATATTGAAGTTTTGATTGGTGGATGTTTTGCTTTCGACCAATTGCCATTTGCCACTTAAAAATAGAATTAATTTGCATAACAATAGCTTTCGGTCATGCATGCGCCATTTCTCCTCCTTCGAGGTGGTGCAATACTTTTGATACCCTAGTGTACAGTATAATCTTTAGTGCCGAAATCGTGTGCAACGTTGGTGAATCCTCTGGCCGCCAAACCTCTGCGAAGGCCACAATCTCTGTGTATACCTTCATTGTAACATGCTAGTATTTCTACTACTGGTCTGTTTCAAAATAGAGTTGTCAAGTGATGACGTCACATTAATATAGTTTTAAATTTTTGAAATTTGTTCCCATAACCTGAAAGAGCATCATGAAATAACTCTAAATCTGCAAATAAGTTAAAGGTATTAGGAAGAATATCCATTTAGCAAACTTTTGCAAACTCTATTGGCCATTTAGCAAACTCTATTGGCCATAGCGAATCCGATTTTTGACCAATTTAACTGATTTTGCATATATCGGGGTATTTCATGGTGTTCTTCTATGTCATGTGATCAAAATTCGAAAATTCTAAAAATAGTTTTTGTGACGTCACACTTGAGAACTCTATTGAAGGTCAGTGCTCCAAAGCAGGTATCATTTAACGCTGGGAGTTCGAAGGTATACATTAGAATATTACCTTGGCTTAGAAAGCGACTGAAAAGTGGTAATAGGAATCTTGGATCGTAAATATCTTCCCTTGTAGAAGTAAATGTCTCATTATCATCGCTTTCCTGCGAAAAGATGGAAGGAAAACAGGTTTGAACATAAATTTGATAACAAAGCAATTTATCGGAAGAGAGCATTAGCGAAATACTTTTTTCTGAACTCACACAAATTGAAGACAAGCTTAATGGGTAGTTGAACACTTCTGGTGCTGACTGTTGGAGTTAGCTAAACTAAAGTTAAGAGTTTCCTTTGTGATTCCTAATCGATGATCTAATGGCGGTGGCGGAAAAATCGCGATAAGCGATAATACCTGGTGCTGTAATAAATGAATATTATAATTAAATTATACTCAAAGAGTTTCAATTGCATTAAATCCTTCATAACCGAAAGTATAGAAAACAGTACATCAATCTAGTGTTTTGAAATCCAGTCTTAACATGGCGCCACATACCAAAAATTCAATTTCATAAGATTTCAAAAAGTACGAAGTTCGTAGACAACAGTTATTTTACACTAAATATTAGCCAATAATTTCCAAAATAAGATAACAAACGATTCTACATCTCATCTTTTGATGTTATCGATGGGCACTTGTAAAATATGTTCCTCTATTGCTAAATGTTAGCATCCATCGTACTTGGAATAAGCTATAACTCACCGTTACGTCAATCTCCAGTGGGAAATTAAAAGCCGATTTGAATAACATATTCCGATCCAGAGACTCAATCACATCCTTCATTTCAGTTTGACTGTACAAGGTTTGGCCTGAGTCAGAGTTATCTTTACGGCGTTCCAGTGCTTTCTTTCCCCATACCAGAGGTCTGGAAAATAATGATATCGGGATGACGTCAGTCGGTAATGTAAACAGCGAAATCTCTGATGTCAATACCAAGATCAGAAAAAGGAAGGGATGAAAAATGGCAAATGAAATGAAGACAGAAAAAGAACTACCGAGAAAATAAAACATAAACCATTTTTAGAGCAAAAGAAAATCCATACAGGGAAGAGAAAACAAACTAAACGAAGATCATTAAACAAGAAAACAATTCAATTCCATTGCAAATCAATAAAAGTTAACCACACAAAGGAAAAAATAATTTCAAAGAAGAAGGGTAAAGAGGTGTTACCTTAAAGACGAAACCGATATGCCATTCTCTTCGTAGAGCCGAAGCAAACGAAGAATTTTGCGATCTAAAGAAGAGAAACGATTAGGCGGCATAGTTGAAATACCGGCGCAATGGAGTTATGCACGAATAATTTTATTAGATAAAAATGACAAAGGTAGACAAAAAGGGGCCCATGTGAACAAGTTTAGAGCAGAGTAAAATCAGATAAAAAATATAGAGCAGACCAAAAAATACAAGAAACATTAGGAGGAAATAACACAAAATCGAACGCAACATTGTCGTCAGCTTCAAATTTGTCCCGATTAGGCCTATGCTTTACTGTGAAAGACTGGCTTCGTCGTAAAGCAAGCCTTTCCATAACATCGCTGTAGGCAGCACAGATTGTTTTCAACAGGCAGACTCAGGTCCACCGAGAGCAACACCGGGCACAGGGGCAGGCCTAATGCTTGGGCCTCCTACTAACCAAAGCAATAAACTGAAAAAGCGTAAAAAATAGATTTGAAAGGCATAGAATTCCCCTTTTTACTGTCAATTTGTTTTTATACAGCATTGTTAAACTTGACTAGTACAGAAATCATTTGTGGTTACCTTATCATAAAGATTCAAATAGAGTCAGTTTAATCACGAATGGACCCCTCTTTGCTTACAGGCCTGGGGGCAGTTGCCCCCTTGCCCCTCTCGTATGTCACGGGAAACCAAAGGAAATCAAATTCCTACTTGTCTTTCAGAAAGGTAAAGAAATAAAAGTGTTATTTCGCCTTTTTCCTTCATTCTGTTAAATCCAATTAGTTTAAATTTTGTCTTTGTCACATCTAGACTAGTTTATCTTAACCCGACCCTTCAAACCCCCCTCCACCCCAGGCGTTTGTCCTTTAACTGGTTTGCCCTAAGTTGATGTTTGTTTGCTGTACATTATGGTATCTTGTGACGTTCTTCTTTACGTTTTACTGGCACCCGTTTAACTAGAATATGCTCAATGCTGTTGGGTTCAGAATACTATAGTAATGCGTGTGGCTTAATAGCCTTTCTATTCTCTTGGTTGAACTAAGAGAATTAATGGGCTCGACCTTGCGTTGGTCTCAAGTGGAAACGTGGCCTCATGACTGACTTGTAATTCAGCAACTGTATTTACAATTCTTTGGGATGAAAATTTAGAATAGTATCAAACGGACATCTGCGAACAGCGATGGTGTTCATAGACCTCAAAAAAGCTTTTGACACCGTCGAACATGAAATTCTTCTTAAAAAGCTGACGAAGTATGGTATCATAGATCTTGAGAACACCTGGTTTGCATCTAATCTGGATAACAGAATACAATTCTGCAGAGTTAATGGGGTGTCCTCAAAGCTTTAAGATATAAATTGTGGGTTGCCACAAGGCTCTTGTCTTGATCCTCTTCTGTTTTTCATATACATTAATGATCTGTCATTTTCTCTCCAAAATAGTCAGGTTACCATGTATGCGGACGATACCACCATATCATATTCTTCCAATAACATCGATGATCTCAACGATAACCTAAATAGAGACTTGAACTGCCTGAAGCAGTGGCTTTGTGCAAATAATCTTCAAATGTTATTAAGACTCGAGCTATGGTTGTAGGATCTTAACCTAATCTTATAAAGATGTCTGAAGGAAAAGTTCAGTCCCCCTCCTTTGCTATAGATGACTCACAGATTGAGATTGTTGAGAAAACGAAGTACATGGGAATTCAGTTTGATCAACATATTGTTTGGGGTGAGCATACTAGATTCCTGCGTGCTAAGGTCTCTCGTACCATACCATAGGGTTTCTAAAGTATGCTAAGAAAATACCACCCCAAGAAATTCTTAGCCAAATATATAGTGGTATCGTTGAACCGTATTTCCGCCACTGTTGCTCTGTGTGGGGGATCTGTGGGAAATCCAGAAGACTGCAGAAGTTACAAAATCGCGCTGCCAGAGTTGTAACAAACAGTAGCTATGATGCACCTGCTGATGCCTTTACACAAAGGTTAAAGTGGCCAAATATTGCTGAAATCATAAAACAAGAGAAAGCGACGATCGTTTACAAATCCTTAAATGGTCTTGCACCAACATATCTCTCAAATATCTTTTCAAAGAACTCATCATGGGACACTGTCAACTTGAGAAACTCTAAAACCATTCTCATATCATGGTGCACATGTGTCGAACTTGCTTGATCCTGAGATTAAGCAAGCGCCCTCTTTAAATGCTTTAAACATCGACTTTAAAGCTTGTATGATGATTATGCTTTGATTTTAACTTTACTTTAGCATTGTAATGAAATTATTTATTTTCGTTTGTAGATTATTTTACATGCTAATTGTAGATTTTAATTTTCTCGCGGCCCCATGAAAAGCGGCCTTTGCCGGTAGCTCCCGTGAATGAAGAATGAAAAATGAAATAAAATAAAATGAAATGAAATGAAAGTGTAAAGATACGGGGAGCAACTAAACGGATTTTTTTTCAAATAAAAATTAGCGGAAGAGTCAAAATGCATTCGAAAATTATATCTCGACGCAAACAAAAATCGAACTGAACCTAAACAAGACCCGCTACTACTTTATTTCTAATCGAAAATTAGCTCCATGAACAAGTAATAGTGTGGCCTACCAGTGGATGATAGAGTACAGTGATATGCCGTTATTAGTACTGCCAGATGAGGCTTTTCAAATACATTCACGCCAAAATCAGCGACTGCTAATAGAAGGCCAACCAGTGCATCTAGAAAATGAAGAAAGAAAATACCTAAATACATCAATTGCCATTTTGTTGCATAGAAAATTAACATGGGATACGATCATGTTCTCCAAAATTGAAGCTGTTCTTAAAATTTGACTAAAAAGCAACAGGTTTATAAAAAAAATTCCAAAACGCTTGATTCATCTTCAGATAAAGCTGTATTTTGAATACTAAAGTAAGAAGGGATTCAGTTCAAGGTTTGTGTATTTGTTAGCCATGAAGATACCTTTGCTTTTGCCGTGAAGGTCTTCTTGAAAAAGAATTGAGAGGAACTGAGAATGACTTAGGACATATTGATAAATGTTTTCCAGCGTCAGAGACGATTGCCCATTGAAACTCTTCATAGAATACAAGAGATTCATAGGTTCTTTACTGTCACCATGGACTCTGGATGGCCAATGCGACGCCTAAGAAAACATGAAATTTCAAAGTTAGCAACTATGAACAATTTGATGATTTGGTTTCTACAGATGACTGAGATCAATAAAAAAGAGAGAACATGAAGCTTAAAGCTATTCTTCTGGTATAAAACATGGACATTCGAGTCACATTGCTACTAAAATGTTTAAAATACACTCCCATCACAAATGTATTGCACCACCTTGTTTAAAATGGCGGTACATTTTATCAGCTTTTCAACCATACCAAACATTCGACAGGATGGTTGAATGAAATAGGAGCATTTTGTAGCAAACTTTGGCAGCAAATTCTTGAAAATTTTTCTGATGCAATAGAAAACATAGTTTAAAATGTATTGATTGTGCAACAAATTTTTGGAAAAAAGTGTCAAATGAGAGGCGAGTCGCTATGCAATACTTACAGGAAAGAGGACTTTAATTTACGAAAAATGTTTAAGTAAGTTGGATGCAGCCACACAAAAGCTGTGAGAAATTAAAATATTTCTCGAGGGTGTTTCGGTGGCAAAAAATTGAGAACAGGACTTCGAAAAAAACTGATGTTGGTGGGGAAAGACTTTGTTTGCTTCACTTCACGGCGTTTACGCTAAGGGACACTCAAGGAGATTAAAGTCGACGTCGAGCAAGGCTTTTCAGCTCGAAATCTCCGCAGACAAATCTTTAAACCTTTTGTGAAGAAAATGTTTATAAAAAAAACTTTGAATGTAAGAAGGATTCTCTATTTCATTTAGGGTTGATCTATCAAAATTAGCAAAAGGTGTTTTGATCACAAGGGATAAACATTGATGCACAAATAATGGAAAAGCTGTAAAAAAAATAATGTTTTAAAATATGTTTTGCATCATGAAATCGGACTTGTGCCTAATCAAGGATATGACAAGCCCCTTGCTGACACATGACACATGGTCACACATGATCAAAGCAAATATTAAGGGAAGGTGCTTACTTGAGGCACGAAGGGAGCAGGGTTGACCAGTTCTTGATGACCTGTTCGAGAGTGTAGTCCTTCAACTTCGATATCGTTCCTTTCTGCAACGACTGCATTCAAAGACAATTGATAATTTCAACATTGGTAGAGTCATGCAAGGCAGATAGAATCAAGGAGTGACTTTATTGTGTTTATAAAGGAAAAATTCTTGTGATGAAACTATTTATATTTGTATTTTTCTTAGTAATATAAGTAAAACGCTTATATAAGTTATTTCTATTTTTATGACAGGACCCTAAAGAAGACAGCATTATTATCATGATGATTATCCTGTATAATCGTATAATTCGTATTATCATTATTATTTTTATCATAACTCTTAAAGTTATAAAGATGTTTCAAAATGACCAAAAATTGTACATAAAATGATAATTCAAAACGATTTAAGGTAGAAAAAAGCATTTCTAAAAACACAGAGTGGCCTGCATCACATTATATAATCATATTAATTTAATGATTAAAAATAAATCTTTACATCTTTACAGAAAAATGATGATTTCAAGAGAGGTTATGAAAATTCTAACCTAATCAGTGTTATAGTGAAACTTTTTTATTGTGATTTTTTAGTAAAAGATTCCAGAATTGCCCACTAACTAATTTGAATTCACTACTGATAGACAGAATTAGCCTTCTATCATTCAACACGTTTAAGACAAGATAAAAAGCCGTTTGAGAGCAGACTTAGATGGCTGGGTTTGAATTAGGCACCAAAACATCAAAATAAAGCGAAAGGTAGCGACAGTGATTGAAAAAGACCAGGTACTACTGGAAAAGATCCCAGCTCTTGGGCCTATTATTTCTAATCACTTTCTTGTATTTAGCTAATAAAGTAATATTGTCCTGACACTACAACAGAAGATCGTGGCAGGCTCGTGCAAATATAATCGAATAACTCCATCGCGGGGCAACTGTCAATGAAGCCTGTTTGGGTTTCAAAAGATCTGACTTCGAAAATCTCTAAATGGGAGGAGCAGCTGACTTCAGGAAATAACTTCCATCTATTTAGGAAATAAGATTAACATTTCTTGTAGAACAAAATTGACGACCATTCCAGTAAATGTTTCTTCTTTAAACAACACAAGAGGTCGGACTCTTCATAGGTAGGGGTCAGAGAAGGAAACAGACTTACATTGCAAAGTTTGTTTATACAGCCGCATATTGATTGCTCCAGTGATTCTTCAGAGTCTGCAACGAAAAATGGCTCATAGTAAAAATTATTTTTCATGCTTTTTCTTGGTGCATCTTAAAAAAATTACGTGATAATTGCAAACCAAGCAATTGAGAAAATTCTACACAGCAAACTACATAGTTAATTGTGAAAAGCGTTATTTCGTTAGAGGTTGAAGGAAAAGTAGGAGGAAGAAAAATATTTTTTTCTAAAAAAACACGATAAAAACATAAAGGTTACTTCACATCTATTGAAAGTGCCTCTCTAACTAAACACAAATTACATCAGTGACTGGTTAAATCGTAATTCACAAAACATGATTCCAAAAGTTTCTGATTTCTTGCTTTGCAGCACTATCAAGAGTAAAGATTAATAGCCCTCAGACATTTCATTCAACAAATTATTAAACCTCCAAAGCCAGAAAATCGAATAAAAAAGATACAGTCCACCCCAACACACCCCCCCCCCCTTAGCATGGATGATTCAACAAATTCAATTAAGCAATTCCCTCATAATAAACCAGCCCACATGTGTAAGAAGATAAAACCAAAAAATAAAATCTAAACTGACAGATTAAAGAAAAATTCAGCGTATTGAATGAAAGGCTGTTGAATGAATTTACAAGCAATTACATTGAGAAGCTTCCTGCAAATTGACTCAGACATAATACAAAATTTATATGACAAAGAAAGTTCCATTCATAATGATAGACTACAATTAGAAGATTAACCTACCTTTTAAAGACAGCGTGCGTTCCCATATTTTCATCAAATATATCAAAGCCTCCATAATCAGTTTTGACGCGCTTTTACTTGCTTCCTCTGGGACACAAACATCTTGAAATAACTGGATTTGATAGCTAAGATAGAATTAAACAAAAACATCATTAAAACCCTTAATTTCATCGTCCTCGTTAATATCTCATGGCTTGATTCTTGTTATCACCTCAAAATATAAGCCCTGTTTACACTACACAAACTAACCTGGGTTCGCCCTAGGTTAAAAGTAACCCGGGTCGAACCCTGATGCGTTTATACCGGAAACTTTGTATTGTAAACGGAATCAAGGGCGAACCTGGGTTAATTTGATATCGACGCATGCGTAACAAAGACAAATTGAAGGTGAGGATAAACAAAATGGCGGCAGTCGACGTGTATAGTGTTTGTGAACTTTACAAAATACAATAAATCCACTTTAAAAGCAATTATTCCCAGTGCATTCACGCTTTGCTTCGTTTGCACTCAGCAACATTTCTGTCACTACGCATGCGTCCTGAAGAAACTAACCCAGGTTCGCCCCTGGTTTGCGTTTACACTACACTTTATCTAAACTAACCCAGGTTCGACCTAGGGCGAACCCACCTTTCGAGATGGGTTGACTAACCTGGGGCGAACCTGGGTTAGTTTGCGTTTACACTTCAAAAATCTAACCTGGGTTAGTTTTAACCTGGGGCGAACCCAGGTTAGTTTGTGTAGTGTAAACAGGGCTTTAGTCACTGAAGAACACTTAGGTTTCAAAATGTAGACGAAAACTTTTTTTGAAAATTTCGATTATAGAAAGCGTTATAAAATCGACGAAAATCTACTTATCAGTTTGTCAATGATTAAAATCATAATCCAATCAAACAAAAATTAATGAATCACTTTAATTATGACCCAAGATAAAATGCATAAATATTAGAAAGTATAGGTCCAACAGACGTCACCCTTGAACGTCAGTGAAACCATTTTAACGATGTCTTTCATAGATACCAGAGAATAAATCATGAATATTTATTTTATAATAACCTTTAATTAAGAGAGGTATAACCCTGGACAACAGGTGTTCAGATTTTACACCCCTCTCCCACCTTCAACTTTGATACTTCTGGTATTTAAATACAGCTCCAACATTTTGAGGAAATGGGGTATAGATAACTGATAGGGCTTAAGCAAGAAAATGTAATTGGTAGTTACTTTTTTTCGTTTTAACATTTTCGAATTCCAAGAAGGATGACCCTTAAATGTTTTCATGCCGAGTTTCGAAGAGTCTCAAAACTAATTGTCAATCAAAATAGAGAATTTGAAAACAACTTGAGTAAATACTTTTTTGGCATTTCAAAACAACTTTTTCATTTCAAATACAACAGACTAACTGATTATAATCAAGAACATTTTGAATGTTAATGGAGCCTGAAATCAATGCAAACAAGAAGGTTAAAACTGAAACAAAATAAAGACACATTTTACCTGCAATGTGAAGAGATCTTTGGAGATCTGGTAAGTTTTCGCAGCCCTTTCACCAGTATTGCAGATAACGCTTCTACAATTGAAAACATTTCAGAAAATTCAGTAAAAGAGATTGGCTCCCTGATGATGTTATATTTGAAGGGATGGCTTGAGACATTTTTTCAGCACGTCAACAGTTAGCTACACATTATCTCCCATTTTTAGGAAGAATCTTAAATATTAAGGGGTTTCCCTTATCAAGCGATGCTAAATGCTACTTTTGAGCTTTGCTACTCAGATTTCTTGTTATTTTACAATAGTAACATATAAAGAATAACCCTTTCCCGGCTTTGAAAGCTTTCCAGTGCATCTAAGTCATTCTGCCACATATGGTTCCAACAGACAAGGTAAAATTGTCAAAAATCAGTCAATGCCAACGGGACTAAATATACATTGTTAGGCGTAATAAAATATCTTAAAAGCCCGACATTATGTTATGTGTGTTCTAATTAAAACAGCTGACAAAGTGGTTAAGAGTAAAAGTCACTTCGAGCCTTCAAAACCGCTTAGGTTTGCTACGAAAGCCATGCATTTTTTAAACGATTTTTTATGTAGCTGAGGAATGTGGAAACAACATGTCCCTATGCAGAATTAATATTCGATTAAATTTGTTTTATCTTGTCTTTTCTAGCGAATACTTAATTTCAGAATCTAACAAAGGAGATCATAAGGCAATCGTGCAGGATACGTAGCTTCCTCGTGTGTAAAACAGCTTTGGGTCAATCATGAACAATATTAATGAACGACCCACGTCGCCAGAACCAATTAAAACACTCAACTAGATATAAATATTTACTAAGAGATCAATAAAGTATATCTCTCATTATCAGAATAAGTTATTACAAACAAGTTTATCATCAAAGAAAACTCATATCTGTTTTCTCGTTTTGGTCGTTAAAGCACGATCGAAAGAATACAATAAAATTCAGACTGTTTTTATCTTCAATTTACTCGTTAATCCCGGTATTTACAAAATTTCTAATGATAAACAGGTTTTATGTTTCCTCTATGAGATTTACTTACAGAAAGCTAGTTAATTAAATCATAATTCAAGTAAGTCTTATTGCCTTGAATACGAAACCCTTGGGCATTAAGACTCGTATGTTATAATTAGGCCACAATTTGCCAAAGGATTATTCACTGTATTCCATAGCGGTTGTTGCGGCTGCTATAATTTTGTTGTTGTTGCTGTATTAACTTATTTTTTTTATTTTTTTTGTTGTTCTTAGACAGTTATGGCATATCCTAATCGCGGAACCCCTAATCAAACATAAAAACACAACTGTCTAGCAACAGTGACCATCTAACTTTAACACAAATGACAATCGAAGGCAAACGATTGCGAGTGGGATATATATTAAGTTGTAAACTGAAGTTGTAAAATGTATTTATCAATTCGCTTTGCTGCTTGTCTCCGGCAATTGATGAAGCAAGGATAAAAAAGTTAATTTTCAGCAGAAGGCGGAAATTGATCAATTAGAGGTCAACTCTAAAAGCAGCTGACAGCCACTATATCAAAAATACCGCTTTCTCCCGCGCTCATCCGCTTTCTCCCGCGATCATTTGCTTTCTCCTGCGCTCATTCGCTTTTTCCCGCCCTCATTCGCTTTCTCCCGCGCTCTTCTATTTTTATTTAAAAACATTTGCCAATTATCTCAAACTCTTCAATTATCTAGTCAAATTTATCCAAATTTCTCCGGCTCAAGGCGGAGACAAAAAAATTATTAGCAGCTGTTGGATTTGTCTTCTGTTGGATTAACGGCAAAATAACATAAAATAACAATTAACAGGGCATTACCTCTGTCTCCAATTGAGGAAGCAACAATTTCCAATGCCATCTAAATTGAACATTAAAAAGACAATCATTAGATTTGCAATAAATATTGCCACATTCGCTTTAAAATAATCAGTAACACAGCTGTTGGAAAAATTAGGGAAAAAATATTAGCAGTCAAAAAATAAGAACGGGAATGAAAATATCTCATAATTTCAATTTCGCTGATAGATTTGAAAAGACTGAGATCGCCATGGGTTGAATTAAAGAAATTAACAGAACTGAAATTGGACCCCTGCTTGCTATTACAGCGAGACTACGCAAACAATTATTTAGACTTACAACTGAGATAATTACTGTTACTGGGTAAACAACGGTAACTAGCACGAATAATTCGCGCATTTCCCGCCTTTCTATCTTGTATAGTACGGTTACAGATTATACCGAGGTTTTTTTATTTAAATATGAGAAAATTGCTTGTGAATTAATGTTTGTGGTTTCTTCCCAAAAAACAAGCCTGATCTTTAAATTTTTAATATCGATTAAAGTCTTTGAGTGCTTTGTCCGGGACAGGAAATTTGTAATTGTTTTTCCTACGATTTAACCACAAATATTAATCCATTTCAAGGAATAGGAGAGCTAAAAAAAGCTTTTTATCATTTCCTTCGAGAAAGAAATTGCAATGAGATGTCTTTTGATGGTAAAGCAAAAGTAAAGAGAATCTTTACCTTCACTTCATGATCAGCAACTTGCGGAAAGTCTTCTGGGTTTGCTATTAACGGCATCAAGTCTTGCACGCTCACCACTTGAATGAAAAGTTCTGCAAAAACGAAAGCAACCCGGATAAAACTTACATTCAGTGATATTGAATAACACATTAAAATTTGAAGTTCTCGTGTTTATTTTCTAGGTTCAAGAGTAGATCATGTATAAATTTATACATTCGACATTGGGAAGTGGCTTTAAACACCTTCTGGCTACGCCTATTGTAAAGATGTAAATTGATGCGGAGGATAAATGGTTAAAATAGACTGAAAATGCTCCTTGCAAAGGGAACAACAACCAGGTGTTGTGCCTTGAAAGCAATGCGCTCTGGTTTTACCGTCTTTATAGTAAAAAAGATAGAAATCAAACGCAATCAGTAATCTGATGGACAAGTATACATGACAAATCTTACTTTCTCTTTTTTCACCTTCCCTGCAACCTTTGGACAGCAGAGTGTGGAGTATGTGTACCAGCGACGACAAAGTAAACAACTCCCGATTGCTGATCAGTTTTCGTCGAATAATGCTAGCATGGACCACAGAGCTTTGACAAAGTAGTTCCAAAATCTTAATAGAAGTTCCAGAGCCAGATCTTAGACAAAAGTCAACAATTGAAATTGGCGCCAAATATGTGTTAAGGTTGTCGGCTTCTAGCAATGATAAGATGGCTCCCTGTAAATCAGAATTGTCATAATTTTCAAGGAGGGTGAACAACGCAGCAATGCCTTTTGCAGTGATTTCTATACTATCCAATTTTCTTGCATCTCCAACCTCGCTCAAACTATCTTTCATTGTAACTGACTTTGAAGAATAAACTCTAGGTTCATCGAGATTAACCGTTTTGTCGAGTCTGATATCCAAAAGCAGCCTGATTGCATGAATCATTCCAGAATCTTCTAGAACGCTAGCTTCTAAATCACAGTCGAGTAGCAAGTTAAGCAAGCCCGAAAGCAAATCATTCCGATCACTGTTCAGCATATGATTCGCCATGATGTCAAGACTCATGAAGACGAGCTTGTTGGGTTTGCCTTCGACATTAAATGGATGCTCCTGGAAAGACTTTACAGCTTTTAAGACAGACGTTGACAATTGAGCAAAGTAAGGCCCCAAAAAAGTCATCAAACGAGCCGATTTTGCATTTCCCAAGGTTAGCTCCATTATCTCAGTAACAATCGTTGCATCTACGACTCTTTTGCAGTCCAAAAACAATTTTTTCACAACTGCATCATTGAATACAACTTGAAAAACCTCTTCAAATGAATTTATTTTCTTTTCTTTACCTTCGCCCATCTCATATTCTCTTACTTCTGGTAGTCTTTCCATTAAAACCAATAATATTTTCTTTAATAAAATCAGAGCAAAGGAGCTCACGCCATTTGAACGTAAGCCGCACGATTTTCTCAAAACAACCAGAACGACTCTGGTACTTCTACCTATGACGTCACAAACGTACGATGTAGGGGTATCCTTGAGTACCTTTGTGATTTCAACTATTAAAAACGAGGCAGTGTGGGAATTGCTAGTAAATTCGTCGGTTGAAAAAGGCAGCTTGCTCCTCAAAATGGCAGCTGTGCTGTTAACCAACGGTCCAGTTGTACACTTGCTGAAGGACTAAAAACAAACAACGAGATATAAGCGGGAAATAACAGAGATTTCAAAATTGCAAAGACAGTCTTAAATTTGGACGCAAAATCGGTGCGATTGCATATCTTATCAAATAAATTGCACATCTGTACTTCAACCAACTCCTGTTCAACACTCCAATGCGTGTAGAGCTCTGTCTACTTGGCTTTAGCACTAAATGTACAGACCGTACAGGCCAGTAAACAGCAATTTCTAATCTCAGGACATTAGAGGGGCTAAAACAAATCAACATACTGCTTAAACAAACTAGCAGACGACTTAAAGACAGATTTAACGAACACCGACGAGACATTATCAACAAAAAAGAAGACAAGTCTGGTGTTGCAGAACATTTCTGCAGCCCAGCACAAACCATCCACGACCTTGCCATCACAGAAAGAGTGTTCGTCGAGCTAAGGAGCAATATCTCATTGGCCTGGCGAACACCCTTACCCCCAACGGCATCAACAGAACCACCGACCGTTAACTTTACAAAACAACTTATCACGTATCACGCCGCCCTCACAACCCACACCATATTTTCCGTACCATTATAATCATCATCACCACCATAACTATCATCAACATTCCATTTTTCTCAGTTCCATCACAATTATTATTATTATTATTATTATTTTTTTTTTTCATGTTTATAGTCATCATTATCATCTCATTGCATCTATCTCCATAGCACCACCCATATCCCCTTACATCACCCACCACCTTTCCCTCCCCCACTTCCATCATCCCATTTTTTCTCCACTGCGCTGCATTCACACCATTCAACATCCACCAATCCGGCACCACCATCTCACATTTCAAATCCATTCACTCGTTCGTTTCATTTACTCTGATGAAGCCCTGTATGCCGGGGCGAAATATTAGTATACTCTTAAATTTAATTTATTTTGAAAATTTATTTCGTGACATTGGATTCTCGTCGTCGTATTGCTTTGTTCCTGTATACCTAACATACTGCTTGCCTATTCCAAAACCTGAAAACCAAGCAACACAAAACAACATGGTTATTTTTAGCAGTAACCGTTGTTGCTTCAAGGCCAGACGCTAAATTAACCTTTAATCTTTGCTTCGGAATTCAAGTCATTGTACCTATTTTATAAAATTGTTCAGAACAACGCGGAAGAATTTTTCAACAATTTGGAGACACAGCGGCCGGCGTAACACTTTTTATCCTGGTCAGGGAAAACACTAAGTACAAAAATCTGGCTACTATACCAGAAAACCTGGCATATATAAATCTAGCCGACGATGTCCAGACAAATTCACGAGAAAAAAAAACAGTTAAAATACAGAACATTAACAGTTTTCTATTAGAGGTCGCATCTTGGTGCAATGAATGAAGCTACACTTTTTGGTAAAAATACCAATTTTTTGCGGTGCCTCAATATTCTTAAATTCTATTTATTTTGAGCCTAAGATTATTTTTAAATTACTCTTAAGAGACATAAGTATTGTTTTAATTACTCCAAGGCCAGTCTTTCCAAAAGTTATTTTGCTGTTTTGCTTTCCAAAAAACTCCATTACACAAAAAAATAATTCTTGGTGAAGCTTGAGCCTTGCATCATTCTGAAAATATTCTTAGATTTCAATGATTTTGAGCCTCAATATTCTGATGGACTATATTATTTTAAAAAAAAAATAGTGTAATTGTAAATTATGTCTTTAAACAGAGTACAATAAAGTTGTCCAGGGCTTTTTTCAAAAAGCTAATGGATGAAGAAGGAGCTTGTTTACTTCTTCGCGATTTGAAGGTGCACAGAAAAGCGGAAACGTAGCAAAAACTCATCAGAGCATAAACGTCCGACCAAAGGTAAGCACAAATTAAATTTTTTTTACAAATCAAATGCAAAGCGAGACGAGGAATGGCGCTTTTGATTCCGTTTTTTCATTTTATTCTTCAACTTTCCAGTACAAAAGGCTTATTTGGTTTTCTCCAAAATTTTCAATTTGGTTTTCCTGGTAAATGTGGCCCAAACTAAACGCTTCCAAACATCCAGAAATATATATCTTCTATTAGTAAAGGTATTTCCGCATTTCACCAAACAATTCTAGAGCTGCACAGGACCAGAATGGAAACGAGGTAAATTCATCCGTGCGAGGATGGAAAAGCATGGTACAAACTCTCTATATTCTTTACGAAGCGTATCTCATATATCAGGTAAGTTCTAGTTTTTCTTTAAAGGAAACTTTTAAGGATCGAAATGTTCAAAGTTTTCTTGGTGCCTCAATTACTTTAACAAAACACAAATGCACAAAAGGGTATAAATACTAACTTGTGAAGATTGTCGAATTGTTTCGTTCCAATCTGAGCACCAGTAGCAAGCAAAGTTCTCAAGTTCCAACCAGTGAGTAAGCCAGCCAGAATTGGCGGCATTGTCATTCTCCCTTAAGACACTCACATACTTCTTTATAATCCTCAAAAGTGTGATTGGATTCTCTTGGGACATCAAAACTTCCATGAGAACGAAGGAAACGAACTTTGAAACTGACACTGTGGAAATGACAGGCATTGCATTACAATGGACAGTAGCTGAGACATTAAGATAATTAAGGTCAAGATAATTATGCAGAATTATTCATTTATAGAGTCAAACATTTATACATTTCAAGATGAGTTGTAATTGCTACTGCGCATGTTCCTTTGGCAGTATACTGGGGGGACTTAGTCAATGGAAAAATAGTAGTATTTTGTCATCCTAAAAATCTTATTCACTTTCTCGAACCTCAGTTATCAGTAGCGGCATCAAAATCCTCATAAAGGATTTATCGATTTCATCCATTCATTTACAATAACAAATAATTATCAGTAAATCAAACAATTTTAAATAAACGGCCTTAAGTCCATCCAACATCATTTTGGGCGAAATGTTGGATCGTTTGACCAGGGCTTTATAATCACTACAATTTTCAATATTTGATGGACCTGCCCAAGCTTTCTAAAAGTGCCGACAGCTGTGAAGCTCCTGTCTCTGTTGAAACTAGGATTAAGCCTAACTGCAAGCCAGTCACAATTACAAACCAGTAAAAATTATAAAAACAGATTTGTTAAACTTACTTAGGACTGATTCGTTTTCATTCAACCAGTGTTTGGTGAAATTGCGTGCAGCTGCAACCACCAGTGGCGTGAAACCAATGCTGTTTGGAAAATCACAGTAATTCAAATCAAGTTTGATATAATTCCAGAATATTTTCGGAAGCAATTGTCTTAAAAGACAGTAGGCATTACTGAAAGTTTAAGCACAGTACAAAAACAAAACAAATTAAGGCATTATTTTATCAACCCTATTTCTCTTTGCTTCCTAAATACTTCCATCGCTTTATGTTTTTTTCTGTTTCCAGGGGGTAGGGTAAATTTAACATTAATCCAAAAGGCAAACTGCTTCTCGATCAGAAACAAACTCTACCGTTTCTGTGGAAAAAACATAAACGGCTAAATGTTCCACGAGATTTTGCTCTCGCTACAAAGCTAGGTAAATTCTTTTAATCCAAGACAAAGTTTATTAACTAAAGTAGAATATTGGTTACTACTTGGGGTTCAACGAAAAAGCGTGTAGTTGAATAAAAAACTACATCACAAGTAGTTTTGCACGTTTAACACGCGTGTATCAATCCTTTGAATTGAAGAGACTTTATCATAGGTCTTGCCAGACACCCTCTCAAAATTGCTAAAATTTTTTAAAAGAGACTTTATTTCATAAAATGAAAAACATTCTCTCCAACAAAGTGCCTTTTATGTGTTCATACCCAACAGTTGTTTAACTTTCTGGTTTTTTGCCATAAACTTCAATTTTTTCTCATAATGATACCCTGGTAACCATTTTACATTAAACTTCCCGGCATACCCTTGGGCAATGTTCAATTCATGCAGTGCCGAATTCATCATCACTACTAAACTTAATCAATTTCGTGAATATTTAAGTCTCTCCTTGATTCATTCTTTGAAAACTTTCCTCCAAAATTCTGAGATTCGAAAATACTACAATTTTTTTTAAATATACTGACGACAACAGAAAGAAGATTCGTAATTTCAAAATATTAATTTTTCGTTGATTACAGTTTGAAAGTTTATAGAAGGTTTTGTAAATATCAAACACTCATCTGTAACTACGGTTTCCTAACTTTGGGTTATCTTATGGTTCAGTTTTTCAAAGACCATTTTTTTAATGAGTAGTTGGCATTGAACATTAACACGAAAATACCCGCTACAGAAAATATTCCTCAATGCAGCTCAACGTTAAAACAAAAAATCAACAGGTAGATTTGCAAATAGTTTACGCCATTAAAACCTGTTCAAGCTATCAAAATGAACGGGTTTAATTGTCATCAAGACTAAACAGTTTACCCCTTTTCAAAACAGAACGTTCAATTTTTGGAGTCGCAAATGGAGCTCTAATTGGCTATGTGAATTCCCAGCTTCCAAAACTGAAGTTTCCTTAAAATCGCCAGTAATAAAATTCCGTCATTTACAAATAACATAACCTTATTTAAACGAAAACCTTACTCAATAACACTTTTCTAATTTGTCGTGAAACAGCCCTTGACGTCAGCACCCACAATGCAAAGCCCCAACATAGAACCTGGGTGTTAACAGGAAGACAGATTACTGATATTTTAATTCGAATCTAATTCAATTTTTTGATATTCAAAATATTTGGATCGTGTAATATACCCACAAGTTGCCTAACAGAATGCATACGCTGCACCGGTAATTCATTAGGCTAAAATGCATTTTATAGGTGTCAAAACTGCCTGAACCATCGATGTTATGGCTGCCAACTAATCGTCATCAAACATGATGAAAAAGGAAAGTTAATTGGGTGAAAAGCGTCTGCGAATCGCATTTACCTGTAGTTGCTCGCATGAACATCTGACTGCAACACGCCTGTTTCCGTTGATTCTGAGGAGCAAAAATAAAAGATATACTAAGGTAAGTTATATTAAACTTATATAGAATTTAGTTTAATTATGTAGAGGTATGTATAACTTAAGTGAACTCTGAATCCCATAATTCTTTCCAAAATCCGCCATTTTGGCTTCCCTCCGCTCCCAGGAGCATTCAATGCTGCAGTTAGTACCACAAATGAATAAAGAATCAAGGTGTATATTGTAAAAACCATTCAGTTGCTGATCTAAATAATATTCGCTGAAATCTTCCTAATTGCGGACTGAGCAATGCATTTAAACTGAGCCTCGTTGCAAGCTAAAGCTGCAAAATTGATATGTAATACTAAATGGTGCTTTATGTAATGGAAACTGCTCTGTGATAGAAATGCAAAAGTTGAGAAGAGGGTGCCTCTGCAAAGGTCTCTGATAGTCAAAGACGTTTGATTTATTTTGGAGCTACATGTTGGAACAACTTTATACCCGAGGTGAATACAGCACATCGTTCTAGCAACTTCTAGGGAAGACATTAGAAGGTCGAACAAATCTAAGCGTTATACCCCAGACATTCTCTCGTGCAATCCAGGTCTTTATTTCATTGTCCCGGTTTTTTTTTTGCAACACAGTTAACTTTTACCTGTCAGTTTCTCGACTCACAAACAGCCCAATTCCTAAACTTTTCCGGCTTCTATGCTAAGGTGCGGTTTTAAACTCAAAATGTATTGCGTTTAAGACACTGAGACCCCGTTTACACTGTGCCGGATAAATTTTATCCGCATAAAACTTGCTCGGGTTGATTTGCGTTTTCACTGAGCCGCACAAATTTTGTCCACTTTGCCCTCCCGTTTACACTGTGCCGGATAACTGAAGTCACGCGACCTTAATCGTGCACAGAACGCCTAAAACGAAGTCATCTCTGGGGAACAAAATAGCAGCTTTTAACCAGCTCCCACAAACGTAAAAAAACTTTTAATTCTCTCTTCAGAATCGTCTGCTTCTCTTTCAGACGAAGTCCTAAGATATTGTCAAATCAAATTAGGCAAGGATAGTTTTGATAAATCTTTCTCTGAAACAAAATGACGCTGAAATAGCGATGAAAGTGGGGAAAGCTTGCAAGGATGCCAAGTGTACGTAGAATGACGAAGATGCTACACTTTCAACACGAGTATTTATCGACTACAAGGCAGCCAAGATGTCGAGAGGTTTTGATTGGGAAACAGTGAAAACTAAATAGGAAGAAATATCCAATCGCTTTCGAGAAAGTGCGATGAGAATAGAATTTATCCGGATAAAACCGTTTACACTTTACCACAAAGCTGTCCGAACTAATTCAATCCACTTTCCTAGGTGAACTAATTTTGTGCGGATAGCCGCTCTCAAATTCGTGCGGATAGCATGGGTCTAGTGTAAACGCGACGCCTATCTGAACTAATTTTGATGCGGATAAAATTTATCCGGCACAGTGTAAACGGGGTCTGAAAAGCAGTTTTTAGTTGGAATACCTTCACAAGCGGTATTGGCGGTGGCACATTCTAAGATCTCATCTGTGATGTAATACAAATCTTGAGATACCGAAGCACACATCTTTTGAAAGAAGCTTGCAATCATTCTGTCTTCTGTCACTTCAGATGCCTTTGCAAAGGCATCCAACCAAACTTCAATTTCATCGATGTTTTCAGTTATCGATCCACTTGCAAAAATCAACTGCAAATGAAAAGATAAAACTTTATCTTCAAAATAAGTTTTGGTTTTCATTTGAAGATTATCAACAATGAGAGAATATTCTTAAACTACTACAGAAGTGAGGCAGGAAAAAACTCATTCAAAGCTGCAAAGCTGTTCAGTCTGCAACAAATTAACTTGCAAGACAACGGATGACAATCGAAAAGTGATTAAAATGATGATATTAATTACAAGGATAAAATACAAGACAAAAAGCAGAAGGCGGGATTGTTTGTCGAATTTAAAACACAATCTCAACTGATTTTACTTGACAAAGTCATCCTCTGTTTATATAATACGAACGAGCTTTGGTGATTGGATGGACTGCTGTGTTGGTGAAACAAGGATCTCAGTCAGATATAATCGAACAAAAACTTAACGTTTGTGTGAAATTTTACAGACATGTACTAAGAAACAAGCTAATAACTATGTCAAAATTCCCAGTTTATATTATGGTTAATGTACTACACTTGAAAAACACATATAATCCAATCACAATAACTGCTTTGCTGAAAATTAGCTCTTTAATCGTCACTTCGGCAACCACAACACTGACCGTTAAACCTGCTTTTATGTTCATTATTACAAAAGACAACCTCGCACATAGCTAAATAGGCGTGGTAAGTTTGAAAATTCTTTTTAGGGTAAACAGTACACAGAATCTAAATACATACATATATAATAACAAAATATACATAATATAATTATAATATGATAAAAATTAAATTTTGTTGCACCAAATAGCGTGTGCTGCTTTGCCTATACGGTATCGAGCATTTTAGAAGCAACAGTAAACAGTAATTCCCACCACATAGATGTAGAAATGACATAGATATCCTTAATAAGGCTTTGATCACAAGTAAATTTTATGTCAGAAAAATGTCAACTCCGTTAATTTTTAAAAGGATTCAGAAACCCGAACCAAAAATCTCACTCTGTTCCATTTTCATGGCTTTTCAAAGGCAAAGAAAGTATGCCAAAGTTGCATGTGATCAAAACTTTCAGCCAACCAAAGATCGAAATCTGCAGGGCCTTGCAACTTACCTGTTTGATCAACTTTCGGCTTGCATTTTTAATTTTTAATGAAGCTGACTCAGCAAATGCGATGTATATTGTCCTCAATGCATTTTGGAAAAGATCAGATTTCTGAAAAATAACGATGTATAATTATCAATAACCGATTTATGCGACATAATGCCCTCAACATAACCACAAAAACGAACTAAATATCATGTCCCTTCAATTATGCTTAAACAAGAAATGCAAATTTTCAAAAACCTGGTTTTACGAAACCAAGTTATCACGGACTACTTATTCGATCAATACAACTTTAAAAAAAAATTGAACTAGGAAAATAAGAGGGAATTTTAAAACGATGTTTTGGGTATAGCCCGTTACCAGGTTATATGATAAATGTACTGCACTTGTCGAAATACATATCGTTCGAAAACATTAACTGTATTACAAAAATTGATTTGATAACGGGCTATGCTCGAAACTTCGTGTTCAAAATTCGCCTTTATTTTTCTAGTACAACTTTTCCTAAATTTTAAGTTGTATTGTCACATTATATTTTACGACACGCAAACTGATATACTTTTTTGATCTCTTATAAAGCTGGTTACATAAGTGGTTAAATGGAACTAACTTTGCCAAACCACTTGAGATTTCCAACAGGCTCCAGGGACGCAATCTCCAAGGCAACAGAGAGTCTCTCCGACTGCAAAAACATATCCAGATTTTCGTTTTTAAACAGTTTACACACACTGTAGTCTGCAGAACTGAATATTCCCGGTTGCAATTGTTGTATGCAAAGCATGATTTGGATAACTGAATTTTGAAAATCATCTTCTTGTATCCCTGTAGGTGGCAAAAACTTGTTATATTACTCATGCACTAAGATTTCTACACAGTATTGGAAAATGCAGTGAAAACAGGACAGGGTTTAAATAGGGTTGAAAAGAAGCAGAGGGTAATTAATCGTTCTATGTGTCGATAATATTGTTAGAAATAAGAAATACAAGATCAAGGAAAAATAATCAATTAGAAAAACTGACAGAAACTCTTGGTTTCCATTAGTGATTGATTGGAATTGCTTCATGAGCCTCTGCTTCGCTACAGCCTCGCTTAACGGACGCTACAACAGAATCTATCAATTCAATTCAATAGTGTGATTTTCGACTCATTGAGAAAGTCTAGGTTTCTATCACATTGGTTTCAACACACGCATGAGTGTTACAGCCCAGTACTGCAGCATTGTGCGTGAAAGAAACTGTTTGCCTATCACCAAACAGCCAAAGATTCCAAAACCGAATAAAATACCTTTTGTAGGTGAAAATCTATTAGCGCGCGTGTTGTCAAAAATATTCGGTAACATGATAGGTACTCTATTTGTTTCTAAATACTTTAGTTGATTGGTTGTTTGCTGATCGACATTTGTATTCTGACCAATTAGATCAGCAACAAGATACATAGACTTAGCCATGTGCAAGAAGAAGAACCATTTCACGCACGCCCATACATAGCGTGTTTAACTTTGCTCATCTTGCACGAAGCAAAACAGCAGACATAGTTGAAAAGTAACAGACAGTTAAACCATAAGAACTGGTATAAACACCTACCTGGTTTAAGGCCAGTTAATCCGTTGTTTCCAGCAGTTGATTTCTCCGCACTTGCATTTTTGGAATCTGTTGGTCCGCTATGTTCCATGCAAGCTATAAACACTCTAACATCTGGTAAATGACTCAATATTCCTTCACAAAACATCTCAAAGATACCAGTTACCATTTGCTTTTGTAAATGCTCCTGTTGGCTGATATATTTGCTGGCCAATGTCCCTCTTTGTAGACATACTTTTAAGAGTTCGGCTGTTTTTTGCTTGACTATCAAAGATTTGTGCTGAAATGAAGAACTTGAAATTTAGAAAATTGACCAGCAGTATGTTATAACTAGTGTAATACTTAGAGCAAAGGTAATAGTTAATGTTGCTGATCATAAAATACGCTTAAAAATCTGCAATTTTTTGTCTATAGAAATATTAAGATTATATTACCAAATGGCAACTTTGCTAAAATACAAATTGAAAAGTGTAAAAATAATAAAGCGGCATCCAAACAACTTTTTCAATAAAAAATCTTTATCAACTCTTCGACATTAAAGCAAAGGCTCTTTTAATTTTTTAACTAAAAGGAAAAATCTGTCAAGCTTAATATTACCTTGAGTCCATTTGTCAAATACTGTTTGCCAAACACGCTTGGGATTACAAGGCCAATAATTAATTGTACGGATTTCTTCGATTTCAAATCATCAAACAGGCCTTCAAAAGACGGAAGCTGGGTCCAAACCTGTACACGAAACAAGAGTTGATATCGCAATAAAATTTGAAAATAGCTTTAAAAAAGGCAAAAATTTTACAACATTCTTAAAGCTTTCCGTATGACAATTCAAAGAGTGTAAAACGTCAGAACTGGGGTCTAAAAGATCAAACAAGAAAATATATACCTAGTTGTGGACTGAAATAGGCCAATCATAAAAACGCGAAAACATGACTTAAAACAGAGGAGTTTTGAAAAGGTTTATTGGGTCGAATTGAGCCTTTTGTGGGCCATTTTGGATCATGTGTTAAATGTGTTGTGTGTTAAACATAATGCTTGCATGCAACACAGAGTGCAATACTATATGGATTTTTGTGTCACATTAGTAAAAGCGACTTTAAGACGTGGAATATTTGGAAACAATTCAGAAATAACTCTGGTTCTTGATACCTTCTTCGGGGCGAAAATTTGTGCTTCTTAGACAGGTCCTCTAAAATCAGTTTGTGCGGCCAAACTTTACCTTTGACATGCACAAAGTTCACAAAAATATGACTAATAAATGGACTTTAAGAGTCTTTGTAGATTCAAAGAGCATTTTCATACCGAATAAACTATGCTAAAAAGGGCCATCTGATAACCACATTTAATGTGAAATTCAGTGCAACCACGTAGCATTGCCTTCAATTGAAATTCCTTTCTGTGAAACAGTGAGCATTGAAAAACTGACTGGAAATACAAAAAACCAAGTCAAGTTTTCCCGTCAATCCTTCAAAGAAAAATGACAAACCTCAATGAGAAAGCCCATGCTATTTAGCCAAGGATCAGAATCTCTTGGCTCCAGGTTCAAATTTAGACGCGATGTGTATGGCAAAACAAGATCAGGTGCTTTTGCCAGTGTCTTCGAAGTCAAACCTCTTAATTCTGGATCTGAAACTGCTAACTTTTGAATCGATCGCAGAAAATTTAACAAGATGGGATTATTTGACCTAAAATCATAAAATTTCATTTGTAAAACGAAACAAAAAAAGGGAAGGCAAATAAAGTTATTATCTCCATAAGTGATATTCAAGCAATTTCTTTTAAACTTTCGGTCATGCTTTCGTTTATTGCTCATGTTTTTTTAACCTTCGGTCATGGGTATATTTTTACCATCAATTGCCAAGAAAAGTTGTTTTTATGGGTGAATCATTCCCTAGTCTCTTTTTTAACGCAATATAATGTTTTTAATGTTACTTTTCAAGCTAGCGATAGAACCAGGAAAGAAATTATACAGGAGTCTGTGTAACAATATATTTATTACATCAATCTGTACAAAGTTCTAGGGAGGATGATCAAAAAAAGAAAATTTAATCGATTTTAGACCCCAATAATTGTCACATGCTTTTTGAATCAACCTTTGTGGGGATATCTGTTATCTTGAGGCTTAACATGAGATGAGACTTCGCTGAATTATGGGGGAAAATAGTGGAGGTCTTTCAATAGATGTTGAATGGTTGTCCTTTTAAATTCATCAGAAGCGAAAAGTCGTACATTGAAGAGACCTTCTTCTATCAACATAGACATAAATTACTGCACATCCAAATAAATATGGATCACAAAATAGAAATTATGAAAGGGAAGCATAAAATCTAAGAAATCTCATACCTTGCTGCTAAATTTCCTTCATTTTTAGTAAATAAAATTCCAAGTTCTGCGTCTGTACAAAGGGTATTAAGCATCTGTATAATAAGATTTTGTATTTCGTTTCGCAGTGCTGATGTTTTCTCGTTGTCTTGATTTTTCAAATTGACAAACAGTTGCGTTAATTGGCTGAGTGTATGGGCATTGAATAACGCAATCTTTGTCTTTTTAAGCAATTTCTCATTCTTTACAACCTATCGATGAAAAAAATTCTTTGAAAAGTCTACCTGGAAAAATAATTGAATATTTAATCACCAAGGCCAATAATAAAAAGTAAACAAGGCTTTGAAAAAAAGCAAACATTTTATAGCATACTAAAAGCTAGCTTCAAATTTTGTACCACAAAAAAATTTAAATACAAAATCTTTGTCAACATTTACAGAATTTATATGCAGTTATTGAAAGGGAACACAGCATCCGAAATTAGCAGCCTGAGGTCAAAGATCGAAAGCAACACTTTTAAGAGGGCATCACCTTGATAAAAGCAAAGCCTTTGATGCAGTTACATTTCTGAGGTTCAGTAGTACTATTTACTTCTTATCAATTATATCTCTGCTCTAACTTACCTTTTCATTTAACGTTGAAAGAACAAGATGAACCATTGGAAGAGAGTCCTTCATAAGGCCATTGACAACACCATTTGTAAACACTGAAAGAAATACACAGAGACGTACACGGCCAAATTCTACCTGAAAAACCAGTCCAATTTGGCCTTGTGAGGAGGAAAATAGCAGGCACTTGATAAACTAGGCACCTTTAGCTTTTTAGGCCCAAAATAAAAGACCTAGAAAAAATGTATGTTTTAATTCAATAGCTTACTAGCTTAAAAAGTTGTTAACAATGTTGTTCAAACTGGGACAGATCAGGCCCTGAAATGAGCATTCAGTTAGGTGCTTGATCAAGCTCCTAGATTATTTTTGTCTTTTTAACCTTTTTTTTAAATGTGTGCAATCAACATTTGTAAGAAATAGCCGCAAAATCAAATGAAAATGAACTGTTTGATGTCCTTTAATGTACTCCATGAAAAATTAAATACCCAGTATAAATGTGCTTCGTTTATAAACTTTATGTACATCACGTAGAACTTGTAGACGCTATTGCCAGATGATCGCAAAAAGATGTTCCAAGCCTTTTTAAAAATGCTTTAACTGCCCAGAAAATGTTCCAAGTGCTAATACTAATTGCCTATAGTATTCCTAAACATTCACGGTAGAATGGATTTTCAGATACATTTTTCCATTGAGATGTGGTAAATTACCCCTGCTTATATTGCCTGTGTTTGATATACTGGCTTTGTATCGTCTATATCACTTGCTTTGGTTTCAGTTTGCCAACTATATCAACTGCCAACGCAATCGCGACTGATCGCTTGCGTCAAACAAAAAGGCCTGCAACACAGAAGCAAGGCAAATGGAACATAGCATTACTGATCTGAACATTACTTGGGATTTGCGAAGCCCAGGGAAACTTTGCAGTTTCAACAAAGGGTATAAATAAAACTATTATTGCTTTTTTGAGATACAAGGAAGATATTGGCTAAAAATCTATATCAAGTAAATTCGCAAATTCACAAATGAACAAGAGAAGTTTTGTAATGATCAGCTAGGCGCCCGAGCAATCAAGCCCCTTAATTTACTGAGGCCAGTGTGGAGGTACTCTCGCTTGATTGAGTGCCTCTCATCTCATGGCCTGGGACAGATAAATTATGTTGAAATACTGTTATACTTAAAAAAAACAACCTATACAGGATTTTGGTATAGCCTTTTGGTGCTACTGTATTGTTTTTTGTTAAGGTCAATTGGTAGCCATGCCTATCATGCTATCATTGACATTGTCTTTGTAATCTTGTTCTTGTAAAATGTACTTTTTTAAGGACTAAGAATAAAAAGAATATTTATAGCGTCTGAGATGGAATTGTCAGTGTGCACCTTCCATATTTTTAAGAGAGATTGAAAAATACAGCCTTTGTATACTTTATGTATTTGAAGCTGTGACATGGTTGAGCAAAATTCATTTCTTGACTTTGAACTACACAAAAATATTGCAAAGAGGACAAACCTGGTACTGACAGAAGATCTTTGATTATATTTTGGTCACCAAAAATGAAAAAAGACAAGTAGAATTGGAGATAGCATGTTCTCACATCTATTTTGGCCTAGGTTCAAAATAAAAAATAACATGACAATACTTGGGAAAGAAGGGAATTCTGTGAGGTAATCTGTTTTTAAGTTTATATCAATGTAAAATTTATAATAATATCATGTTATGTTTAATCATAAATCGGTTTGTTTTTTAGCAAGATATAAAAGAGAGAATTTAGAACCCCTTCCAAATTTTACCTTGTTGTCTCTTTTCTTTGAGACACCTTCAAGTCCTTTTAAACCAAAATCAAAAGTATTCAAGACTTCAGCCGCACCATTCCTTCCTTGAGCAACAAAGGAAGTCAAAAGTTTCAGCACTGACTTGGTGACGTCATGAGGGCTTGATAAACTTATTGCGGAGTATAACATCTTCAAGTATTTGCTGAGAATCTTGTTTACAATGTACATTCCAATATCTTGTAGGGATTTTTCAGAATTTGATGTAAGAAGAAGAATGCTTTCAAAGGCATTCCATATCAATTTTGCCTGAAACAAACAAATTGCATCAAATATGTATTGATGATATGAGAAAGATATTCATGAAACAAATAATCCAATTGTAATATTCACCAACTCTGGATTACCTATGAATGGTTCTCTGCCTTTCCATTTGCTCTTTTGTGTGCTTATTAGCTGAGAAGGCATTATACCAAACAAGATGGCACAAAATAACAACGTAAAGTACATTTTGCTCCACAATCATAAGAATACAAACTTATATCAAGGTGTGGATAAGAAGTAACATGGTTAGCAGTTGATGATTGCTGAAAAACATAAGAAAAATCCAAATATGTTTTTCCTCTTCTCAGGTTAAAAAATATTATACAGTATGAGCACCAAAATACAGTTCAAATGTAAGAGCTGTGGATTTTTCACCAGTCTGAACAATCTGATTTGTTTGGTACTGTAAAAACTGTTGATTAAATACAATAAACAAAAATGGAATTATTGAAGGTTACTAGGCAAAAGCAATGATACATTGCATCTGGCCCGAATGAAAATCTAAAGATAACTTGTCCAAGTGAAAATTAGCTTCAGTTACCTCCTGATCTGATGGCCTTTCTTCTCCTTCAAGAAGATTAAATAAATCCTTCAATTCTGGGGAGGACAGTAAATATGTTCTGATACTTTGCCTGACATTTTCATTATCTTTTCTGCAAATTTCACTAAATTTCTTCAAGCCTGCAAAAGACAAAGCACATACCCAACAATTAACAACAATTCAAAGAGTGTTCTTACACTTTCCAGCCATAGCCAACAACATCCAGTGATGTTTCTCAATGTTGACTAAAACTTGTGCATGATGTGATTAAATTGTCATCAATCATGGAATCAATGATATCAAAGACTCAGATGCCTTGTCCCATAAAACTGGACAGACATTGGCAACTATTGTGCCGTAAATATTTGGATTACAATGCAGCACCTAACAACTGCAGCATGCTAATAAGAAAAATTCACATAAAAAGTAAAGTTTCAAATCTCGAGAAACCTCTAGACTGTAGACAAAAAGGGTGTTTGTCAGAAGAAGGTACCACATCCACAGATAAAATAGTACACTTACTATCATTTTCATTCAATCTGTTTAGTTCATTTTAGTCACAAAACTAATTAAAACTCTAAAATTAATATATTATACGTAAAAATGTCCGTACTCACATCAATTGATTCAACTCAAACTTAATTTTCGATGCTCGCAACACAGAATTCTATAGGATCTAGAAAAGAATGGGCATACACTTTGTACTGTGTGTACACACAGTACAGAGGATCTACCTTTACCACGAAAAATGCTTCCATTCATACCTGCATTTCTGCTTTGGGGCAGTTTCAGCATCTTAACAACATTTTCAAATCCTGACTCTTCTTCTTTCTTTCTGTTACAAATCCCTTCGTTTCCTGGGACATTTTCTAGGTCCCTACCATCTTCACCAACATTATCGTCATCAACTTTGGACAGTTTGCTATCACTAGCATTAGCATCCTTTCTCTTTATCTTCAGTAGTGATGCTTCATTTCCCGATGAAGATCGTTTTCTTTTGCGGTTATCGACCTTTGACAAAATCTTCTTCATCTTAAAATGATGCGTATTCTATTTACCTCCGAACTTGCAGCACACATTCTTTTCCGCCATGCTGGTTCAACAACAACGCAACCCACGTGCTTCATCTCTAGCCTCGCAATCAAGCAATAATATGATTTCATTTCATCACGTTTGTCAAAGCTCAAAAAACTCAAAATCTTAATCAGCAAAAACAAATGTTAATTATAATATACCAGGAATTAAAAGTTAGAATACAAAAGTTAGCATTTTCAAAAATTTAGTTAATTAAATACATCAGATAAATTTTCATAATATGATTTCATCATATTTTTCATGTGTATATGTTCATATCAGCAAGCCAGCAATCAAATTAGGTACATGTTAATAAAAGATGCAAGAAGCTGAATTGCAGAAGTACAATTAAAATAAGGCTATAGGAAAGGCGTATCAAAGATCTAACATTAAACTTAAGATGCACAAGTAAAATACTTTTAATTTGTGAAATATGGCTTTGTTACACCTACCTATTAGGGCTGCCCCCCCCCCCCCCCCCCCAAACAAAAAGCTGTACCTCGGCCATGGAGGAAAGTCAATATTTTCCTTGATGATGAAACCTGAAATCGATTTGCAAAGCAATTTGACCAAATTCTCGTTAATAATTTCTCTTTAACTTTTATGATTATGATTTCAGTTTGCCACCAACGTTGGCTTGCATATGTTCGATATATCAGTCAAGGGATTAAAGATGACTTTAATTCAAGACATTTTTTATTCAAAAAGCTAATTATTTAAACATACTGACTAGTTGAGCGTTTGTCCCAAGGGACCCTTTTCCACGTCCCAGTGGACCCTTCGGAATCTCGAAGCTAGTTGAAAATCCTAAAAAATATCCTGAAGACTTTGCTTGAATTTGATAAGCAGTGTTAGAATACACACGTATTATTATGAGAAAGTAAAAAATTGATTTGAGTTTCTTATGAGATCTTTATGGGAGCCCTGGCAAGGATTGCAGAGCATGTTACAGATTGTGGGGGCTAAGACCTCCGATTTGTTTAAGCACCAAACTTTGACACCTGAAGGTGCCCTTTCTGCAGTTCCTAACCCCACCGCGAAATGAAGCTTCCGTCGCCTCGGAATTGAAGATAGAAGAATTATCATTTAGGAGAAATACTGCGATATTTCAGCTTATTTTGAAAATGAAAGGTAGAAGTAAATGTGGTTTCATTCCATCGGGTTGTATCGGACGCCTAATGGCAAAAAACCTCCTTGCCCACCTTCCCAATGGCAAAAACTTTTTCCTTGCTCAACTCGTCTTTGCCTTCCTCTCCCCCAATCTTACCATCCTGGCTATGCTACTATTTGTTCCTATTGTTCTCAAACATTTATGCCCCAGTAAATCTATCCTTCCTGTTGCACTAAGTTTAGGCAACGATTTTCATTATTGAAAAAGTGAGAGAAGGATTTCGAAACTCTTTGAAGCGTATAAACACACCTGTATGATGAGGTGCGAGGCAAACAGTTTTTGGCAAAATTTATAACCAGATACTTCGTTATGACTTTTAAGGCTTTTTGTTTATTCGTAAGCAGTAACAAAAATCATGTCATGAATAAACTGTTTGATTATAAGCAGAAAATACACGAAGCACGTAAAAAATACAGTACCTGTCTTCGAAACATAAGATCTTCTTTCAAATCTTTGGCGCATGAACAATTTTAAAAAAATTTCGCTATCCAATTAATAAATCACATATGCATGAATTTGAATGAGCTATTTGGAGTCTTTGGTACTGCAATAACAGCAATTCATGACACTATCAAATCAGTTCATAGTTCAATCAAGACAAACGCCAGTTCAGTGACCAATATCCTGAAAGTGAATTAACTCTAACAAATGCGAAATTATTGTGCAAAAACCAAGATTCCAGAAGATTAAGGGGAGATCTCGGGGCAAGCTCATCCCAGAGTCAGCACGGAGGGGTGGTTCTGAGTCCAATTGTTAATGATGAAGAGTGCCTGAGGGGGGGGGGTGCTGAGTCCCTTGTTAATGATGAAGAGTGAACTATTTTTACATTTTTCTTTCGTTGTATTGACCCTCCTACTCCTAGTTGCTACGCACGTGACAATTGCATAATAAAGATTGTCACTTGTATGTATCATATAAGACAAAGAATCAACAAGACTATTTCAACCCGACCCCTTCCCCTGTGATGTAGTAGGAATATATGTCATTAATTAACATACATCATTATTATACTAACCCTATACCCCGCTTTCGTTTGTTTAGAACACTTAGTCTTGCGTTTAGTAATTTAGTCAGTGATTACTCTCAACACGAGTCACTCGCTTTCTTTGTTCACTCTCGAAACCATTTGGTTTACTACTCAACGAGATAAGGGATTTGGAGGAAGTCTAATCCCTGTTGCAGTGATCTATCAGGGCACACGCCACCAGGGGGGCTAGGGTGGCCATGGCCCCCACTTTTTTGTGAAACAGGTAATTTCAAAGCTACAATCAAAGGTGAAAGTACCTTTGGTCCCCCACTTTCATTAGCCTTGGCCCCCACTTTCAAATTCGTGGCGTGGGCCCTGTCTATTAGAATTTATTAAACTTTAAAACAGATTGTTTCAAGATCTAAAAAGGCATAATGATGAACAAAGACATATGCATACATTCATAAAACAAAAATATTTCATCTACTGCTGTTAATGTATTGTACAAACATATTTCCTATTTTTGTTGTATCTTCAACTGGATGCATTTTAGTATAAGTCAGAAATTGCTTTTTCAGTCTTCTGAGTTCTGCCATATTAAAAGTCTTCAACAGCACAATTCCATCTTTGGCATTTGGGATTTTTATTGTATCCCCAACACATGCTGTCTTCTGTGCATCTAACAAGCTCATCACAACTTCTTGTGTAATGCGATCCAGTTCGTAAAGAAAATTCACAGCACTAAGGGGGGTATTCATGGTGGACTGGTTTGGAGGTGGTGCCTTTCTAGCGAAGAGAGCAGTTTCTATTTCATCAAAAGGTATATCATTTTCTGGTTTAACAGAAAATAAAGGCGAATCCCATCTATTTCTTGAATCTGGAGGCTCAAACCTCATGATCAGCTCTCTGCATATTTCATCTGTGTACTTATTTGTGTCTCCTCTTTTGTTATTCCATTCCACACATTGCTCTTCGTGAACAATAGTTTGTAATAAGCAGTGCAGTGTTTTTTGAGACTTGACTACACAATGAAGTTCATATCTATAGCCCTTGATATAGTTCAGTGAGTCTAGAATTGTGATGTCATCTCTTGAAATGCACCTAAAAGGAAGAATCTATGGATAGAAACAGAAACCCTACCAAGTATTTAACTGAAGAGTAATTTTAATCCTTTGAAGCTGCTGGGAAAAAACAGAACATACATAAAAGCAAAAAAAATGTCATATTAACTTATATTATCAAACTCATTTTGTATCAGGATACCTTGTGGCAATTTTGTGACAATTTCTCTTTAATTTTTTTATGCTAAGAGAGAAGTATGCTGTCAAAAAGCTAGAGGGCTTACCGTATTCTATCATGCATTGTTTTTTAATTCAAAAGAAAACAAAAGTTACATTTTTGCAAAAAAAAATTATATGCCTTTGATCTGGTACACAAACATGATTGCTTGATCACCTGCCAAAGTTGAAAACTGTGTAAGCAATGTTAAAAACTTAATAAACATAGGTATCCTGTTGCTATGTACGAGGAATGCTGCTTTTGATGCTTTGCCAGTAGTTTCAAGGCATCTGCCAGGCCCATGGGAAGTTCTACTCAAATGCTTGCGTGGGCAGCACCAGAGAGGGCTGGGGGGCTTCAGCCCCCATTGTGCAAAAAGTTTTCTCAAGAAAAAATAATAGAAAAGAAATGGAAGAAAATAATAGTGCGACAAATCCTTTTCTTGCTAAATTTCCAAGAAATAAGCCAAGGTCTATGGGACCTTATGAAGTAATGAATTCTATTTTGAGACTGGAATTAATTAAACGAACTAAAAGCAAAATGTTTTGAACATTTGCAAGAAAATGATTGCAAGAAATATTCCGCAATGAATTTTAAGCTCATTTAAACAGTGTGGTTGCTAAATTCTCAGCTCGCTTTGCCGGCAGGGAAGCATCTTCTTTCAGATATGCATAGGGACCCCTACAACCTCTCATTGGCCCTTTCGACGCTAGCATAACCATTGCCCAGCTAGAAACATAGGCATAAAATTTCATGAAGCATTTGATTCCTTTATTCAAAAGATGATTTTTTAGTCAAATAAAGCTATCAACTCAAGCCCTTGAGTTGCTTTTAGAATGTTAACCGTAATAAAGTACCTGATGGAAGAAATGCTGAGCCACGAAATTTAGTTGTTTGTTGCGACAAAGATAGTTATTCTTAGTTTCCTTGCTTTTTGGGTTTGAAATTGCTCTTAAGGCATGTTGGAGCAGATTCGACAAGCTCTAATATATAGTTGTTTGTTGCTTCAAAAATATAAGAAACAGTGGCTTTTATCAAAGACAAAATTCAGTAGTTCAATTGAAATGCTCAGATTTGCAATAGAAGTATCCCAATTACTGTTTCTAGAAACTTCTACCCATGTGCCAAATCATAAACTTTCAGTCAAGTATGATTTTGTCTATAGATTCTGTACTACAATAAAACCTGTACTTTCACCAATAAAAACCTTTATTGCCACAATATCTGTATCTTCTATTACAAGTTGGCATAAAGGGGTGATTGTTTTGTTGTGAGCCATGACAGCTTCCCTTTTGGCAATGGGACAATAGCTTTTAGGATCGTTGGCTTGCTGACAACGTTGAGTCATCATCATTTTGTGACCACAAGCAATAGAAACCGGCACCCTAATCAAAGGAAAACAAGCATGCCTTGCATAGCAAAAATGTTACCGAAATATGCGTTCCCCTCAACCCACTACATTAGTGTACTCAATTCTCGTACACAAAAAGGACAGGTTCAAAATCAATTACACAGCACTAAACTAAAGTTACAGTTTGGCAACAGATTAGTCACCAAATTTCAAGCTATCATAATTTAAATGCCTCCATAAGCTAACAGAATCTAAATTCCTTAATTTTAAGTAAACTGGCTTCTTCATAAGCAGGACAGCCAAAAAGACCAGGAGATGTGCATTCAAATATAGCTTTTGAGTAGGGCATTTCAAATTTTTTGGGCCACAAAGATTCCTGGACAGATTTTGTAAACTTACAAGGTTTATATTTCTATCTTCATCTGCAAAAATATTGAGTTGGATATTGATTGGAAGAAAATACCAAATTTCCTCAAAAGAGCCCCTGGGATGCTCATTTAAAATCCAGCCTTCAAGGGGAGGCCCACATTCAAGGGGGCACTTATTCAAGGGGAAGCCCATTTGAGTGGAAGCTTATTAAACAGGAAATAGGTCAGGAAGATTTCTGACTAAATTTTTTTCTGGTATAATTGGTAAAAAATATCATGAGAAAAGGATGCCTATTTTCTTCTTTCTTTGTAAATCAAATTGGCTATTCTTGTATAAAAGAGTAGAGATGAGGCTAACTGGTTTTCAAGTCTCTACTAAAAAGGTGCACTCACTTAAGGCAAGTCTGTAGAGTGTGGCAGTTCTAGATGAGACCTCCTTTGTGCATAGTCTGCAGACTGGATTCAAGGAAGGTGCTCCTTTAAAAAAATCGTTTTCCAAGGAGAGGTGCTCATTGAGGGGGCATTATTTTGAGGGGGATGCATTTTTGAGGTAGGGGGTTGCTCGTTCAAGGAAACACAGTATATTGATCAGCTTAACCTGTTCCAAATTTTAAAAGCATGCATTGGTACAAAAACAGTGCCCTTTTTTTAAACGCCTGAAAAGTTTATAACGTTCTTTCTTCCATAAATAGCATGTTTGTTTACAAATGTAGTCCAAGGAGAATTGTTGGAGTCAAACTAGTTAAATAAATTGGGATTTACATATGATATTTAATTTAGCTATAAATGACCGTTTTGTTGCAGTGTGTGGACATTTTTGTACAAAAATGATTGGCTGACAATTGTCAGACCCATGTTTGATTCAAAGATGTAATCATTATTGATCCGTATAGATAGCTGATTAATGTTATGCTGGATGACGATACCTTTCAACTGCTGCCTTCAGCGAAGCTCTGATTGATTTCTCCTTTATCGAACTGGCATATACATCATTTTTTTCCGCACCGACTATTTCATCGTCGATTATAACAACGGTTCGCCCTTTATCTTCGAAATATTTTTTGAGTTGTTGAGCTCTGGTCGTCTTCCCAGAAGAAGGGAGGCCACAGATTACTACTAACGGCATTTTACTGGCAATAACTTTCCTATTTCTCGTCAAATGTCGTAGATGTCCTGGCTGTTCTTGATCACTGTCCTTGGTTGGTATGCAATTTTCGAAATGCCTCGTATTCAACCACAAACAAATTTATTCCAACTTGATTTCGATCGCAAATCGGTTAACTCGATTCAATCCAATGGTCCGATAATATTATAAAGGACAAGTTTTCAATCGAAAACAACTTTTTAATAATTCAATAATAGACCATTCGCTGAAAATAAAACACATAGACAATATTTGTAGCCATTCCAATTCATCCATCTCATTCCATTGAGAAAATGCGATGAATATGGAGTAGCTTTTCCCAGGACAGACAATTTTTCTGACATCCATTATCTATCAGTTGGGTGTTACACTTGTTATTATTTAGAGTTTGGCTTGACATGAGTGGTCTGTCAGTATAATGGTCTGTCCAGGGTGAAGTCAAACTCCAAAGATCTGTGACAGGCTCTTAGCCTTTAGCACAGATATAGATAAAGTTATAGTTATCCCATCTGCTGTTTGGGTAGGGAGAATTTTTGTTTACATTTTCACACGGCATTACTACTACTAAGGGAAACCAGCTTGGGGTCAAGCCGTTGTTTTTAAAAAGAGGGGACAATAACCTATTTTTAAACACTTGGCATTAAGGAGGGTAACTTGGCTTTGAGGGGCAAATGCTCCTCATCGAGCGTGTTTGTTAAAAAGGCCCCCCTTTAAGGTTCAAAATCTTTACAATCCCTTGAGTTCCTTTGATTTTTCTTTAAGGTTTGAAAGTCATGTCCACAGACTCCCCTTTTCTTTAAAGTTATATACTTCCTCACCATCATTATCATCATTTCCGGCGTTATTTAGTTAACTAGATTATAGCTCTACAGCTAATTTAACGCTAACATGAAGCATAAAAAAGATTAGTATGAAGCAAACATGAAGCATAAAACTTGCGTTATAGACAAGACCCACGCCACAAAGTTTAACGTGGGGCCAATGCTAACAAAAGAGGGGTATCAAGGAATTTTTCATCTTTTATTGCGGTTTTGAACTCTTTTGCATCGAAAAAAGTGACATGGCCCATAGCTATCTTATTCATTCTATATTTGTGGATGATTTGATCCTATTTGGAAGTGAATTCCAGATCTTTGGATCCAAGTTATTTATTGAATATTGTGAGTTTCAAATTTTATCAAGTCTTCTTCACTAGCCTAGTAATCTAGCCAAGCTGTGACGCATTTGTTCGCTTAAATTTATTGCATTTAAATCAACAATCTTGAATGAATAATTACATATAGTCACTGTGATTCTATCATATCAAGAAAATATCACACAGTAGCAGACAAGCTCCCCCAAAAAAACCAAGAAGAATTTTTTGGTCGTTATAAATTCGTACCTTTCTAACATACTTTTTCTTATCCTTTTCCTAAATGTCACTCATTATTCCCCAGAGCCTTCTCAATGAAATCCTGAATAACGAATTAAATATAAAGGGAAGTAAAAAACATTTAACAAATATTGAATTAGCAATTATAATAACCAGCATTATTATCTCATAGAACTGCTTATTCTAATCTAGTCAAAACGACGATGATGAGAAACAACAACAGTTTTCTTTTCGCTTTCCCCTTGTGCACTTTTACAGCTGAGCAAATACTAACTGATTTGACAAGATTGGCAACTGTAATGTTGGTAGAGTCTACCAATTTTCTGTTGTGTTGCATTTTACTGCTATAGCAATTATCGTAGACTTAAGATCGCGTTGATACAATTAATACAACTTATTTAGTTTAAAAGAATAAGACCAGCACTTATTGATTGCTGATGCTCAAAACGTTTTTCAAAACAGGTTGTTGATAGTTATTTGGGACTAAATAAATCACAATCAAAATAGTTTAGAATTTTTTACTTTGTTTTGAAATGTTTTGCCGCACACTTGTGTGCTTTTTTAAAAAGGAAAAGGCAATGATCATGTAGAAAATGCAATCTTTTCAGATCAAATTAGAGTAAATTTGCAGGTCTCCCACCTGCTATTTTGGCCACCAAGGAGACATATTGTAATGAAACAAGACCGCTGTTTAAATGTAAGCTCATTGAGGCCACTCGAGGTGTGCATGGTTGTCTTGCTGGGAATCAATGAAGCTTTAAACGTCATCATTAAAAGGTAAGAGTTGATAGGAAGAAATGAAATAATGGTTATATTTAGGGGTGGGAGATTCGTTAGTCATAATTGATTGACTTTTTTCTCTAGTAAGGGATTAGGTGATTAGTTTTGAAATAATTTCAAACGAGAGTAAAGCATGAAAACTCATGATGTTTATGATTTTGAATAAATCACAAGAATAGATGTCTGACACTTCAAACAGTGTCAATTTAAAAGTAAAATGTAGCTACTTGCTGTACAAACTCTAGATTTGAGTTCTGATCTTGTGATCATTATTGAAGTTTTCTTAACACGTAGTGAGAGACAACGATGTTACGCCCAATATTACTAAGATAATGTAAAATCCAAATTTTACAAAAAGGATTTATATAAGGGTGCAGATTTCATATACATTCTTAAGATTCAAGCTAGCACAATAGCAGGGATGAGCTACGAAACAACACTCTAAATCCAAAAGGTAGTGTGCAAACTAGAGGCTTCTACGTAATCGATTTTCTAACAACATTGGCTTGCAAAGAATCCTTTGTTTTTCTTACGAATTTTCAATCACACGAAGGCTGATAACACCTGACAGGCAAGTTTACTCAGTGAATGTGCTTGAACACAGTTTGAGCTTGACAAATTAATAGTCAAATATATTTCCGCTGTTATGGGCTTTCATAGCCATGTCTTAAAGATACACTCAGTGGTGTGATACCAGCTTTTTCTCATTCCATCTATGTTAACTTGACTCAGGTAAGAAATATGATAGCAGTTTTGATTTCAGGGTTTTTAATCTTCCATAATTCTATGGTATATTTCCCTTTCAAGCTTATTTTAAAATAGAAGATATTCTATCAATCTTTGGGAAGCTGGCAGAATTCCTTTTTCTCCAGTGAGAGCAATAGCGAAGCAGGCCACATAGAAATCTTAGATTAAAAATGCTTTTGGTCCACAAACGATTAAATCAATTGATATTCGTGTAAGTTTTATAAAGCATAAAGTATAAAGAATAAAGAATTTTTCGATGTGCAACTGGTTATGTATGTTTCTTAGCGTAGAGTTTTGATCTATGTTCTGACGTTTTAAATTCTGAAGAGTATCAGACGAAAAGCTTTAGTATACTCAAATGTTTGCTTTTTTCAAAGCCATTTATAAATTTTGAAATACACAGCTATGAAAAATGAGTGTGAAGAAAAATATTGTCCTTCACTTGATACCTCAAGTAACTGCTCGCGTGAGAAACGAACAAATTAAAAGCATTTCATTGAAAAAGGTCATTCAATATTTATATAATATTTGTAACTACATGCAATCACAGATCCTAAGAACTGATTGCAGGTTATTGAAATAAGAATTTTTGCCGCATGTCACATATCCATGCAGTTGGTAATTCAAACAGAAGGTCACGGGGGTTCCAAGATATTAAGAAAGTTCAAAGTACTGATTTGTGGTAACCTTGAAAATATTTTAATGCAATGTAGGTACTTGGACCGGGTAAAACAATTGTATTACAGGTTGCTTTTCTTGATCGAGGAAGCTTGCCAAATCATTATCAAAGGAGTAAGGAATCATCCTAGTAAGATTCTTGGCTTTCTATCAAATTGCTTAATCAGGGGGGTTGATGTTAGAGAAAATGGCTTTTTTGCTTATGCATTGTGGATTCTGAATACGCAGCAAGGTAGTTGCCACTTTACAAGGGCGTTTTCTCAAACCTACTCTACATGAAGGTTGCTGCATTGAGGATTTTATAGATTTCGCTTCTAGGATTCTAGCCAATAGAGGGAAGAAGGCTAACATTTGAATTTGGCCATTGTGCTCATTTTGGAAAATACCAAGATGTTCGAAACATTTTCAGTAAATTTAAACCCTTTCGTATTTTTCGCGTTTGTTAAAGGAAGAAATGATTCACCCATGGTTTTATCTATTTGTTAATTTTTCTATCATTTGTTTTCCATTTGATGAAACTGAAGGTTGCTTTGAGCACAGTGATTTAAATTTGCCTGTTAATTGGTTTATTTGTCTATCCTTTTATTTCTTTATTTTTGTATTTAATCATCTATTTCTCAAAATTTCCTATGTTGAAACTCCGCGTTTGACGCTTACTGTGATCATCAAGCTACTGTTCTACACAACACAGTGTGTTATGCTCTGACTACTCGGCAGTATATATTATTCAATGAATCATTAAACGTTTGTTTTCATTTTATATACACTTATCTTATCATTTCTAATGAAAATTATGGAACGGCTGTTGCAGAATAGGGAATGTTGTCTAGACAGAACTGTAAAAAGCTTTGTGTAGAAGAGGATAGTTGTAAGTTGCTTCTGAGTGTTGAACGTCAAATACTACTATAAGGTATTTACTTAGTTATCTAATTGTTTGTTCTCTAGACTTTTTTCAAATGGTATTCATATTGGTAAACTATAACAAATGATGACGATGATTGGCATTTGAAATCGAATTCCGAGAGCAAAAGTAGGAAAAGAACCCGTTAGATCTTGTCAGCCAGCATGGAGGTCGAAACAGCCATCCAGCTTGCAGTCATAATTGTTCTGATCTTGCTTATCGTTATTGGCAACAGTTCCTTGGTCATCTCAATATGCATAACAAGGCGGCTGCACAACCCTTCTGGCTACATTGTTCTAAGCCTCGCAGTGGCAGATCTTCTGGTCGGGATGTGGTTGCTGCCCTTCAGCATTCCAGCTGTTGTGTCTCAGGAATGGACAATTGGTATGTACCATACTGGTATAAGGAATCAATTGGAATCCAAGTCAGCAATGATAGCACAAAATCAAAGGAACAGAAGGTCGTTTTCTCTTGTGCGCTCAATCCAGTTAGCAAATATTACATTGCTAAAGCATGGTCTCAGATTTCTACATGAATTAGAGTTTCAAAATAATGGAAAGCAAAATTCAGAGTTTGAATTAAAATTTCCAAAGAACACATCTAGACTTTTTATGTTATTTAGCTTTTCAATTCTATCATTTTTTCGTCTTCATTATAAAGAGGTCTTGACAAATGACGCTTGTAGCACGTAGACAAAACATGCCCTCAGAAAATACTAAGAAAATATGCAAATTTGGTGCCTTTTGGGGACACTATTCACAGATTTCTTGTCCAGGCGTCCGTTGGAAACTCTTATCAAAAACACTCATATTGTAAACCTTAACTTTTTAGTATTTTCTTTCGCTTTCAGGAAATGCGATGTGTCAAGTGAATGGATTCACAAATCATTTGCTTTCGAGTGCGTCCCTTCTTGGGTTGTTTGTTATTAGCACAGACCGATACATATCCATTTTCTACCCGCTCACCTACCATGAACACATGACCACGAAAAGAGCTGTTGTTGTTATTTCATGTGCATGGGGATACGCACTGTTAACGGCAGTGCTACCTGTCATTGGCTGGTCCCGATACACTTTTGCCAAGGGTATATGGCTTTGCGTTACTGACTTTAAAAATAGCATCTCCTTTTCGTATTTCATTATCTTGACAATATACGGTGTGCCACTAACTATGATGTCAGTGATATATTATAGGATATTCAAAATTGCTTTCTACCACGCAAAGGCAATTGAGCAACAAGCGTGCGTTAACAGAAAACCGAATGACTATCAAAAATACCCAGTAATAAACAAATGGCTGACAGTTGTTACTGACGTAAAGGAGGATTCCGATAGGGGCGGAATGGAGTCGTTGCATTCAAGGAAACCAAGTTTCAGTGGCCTTGGTTCTCCTAGACCGTCCAGACTTACACCTGTAGGTGATTTCAAGCATGCTGACACAGTCGGGTACGGATCAAATCAACCCTCTGACCGAAAAAGAAGCATGCAGATAAGAAAGGAAAAGAAGAAGCTTCTCATAATTAAGAAGGAAATACGCACGGGCCTAGTTTTGTCTGTAATTGTACTAATCTTTGTTTTGTCATGGTCTCCTTTTGCTATCTTGAACCTATGGGCTCTGCACACTGGAAAGAGGACGTCACTTACAAGCGAGGCCATCGTGTCAAGACTGGCGTACGCCAACAGTGCTATAAATCCACCACTTTATTGTCTCATGAATAAGGTCATTCGTAAGTCAATGTACAAGCTCTGGTACAAATTATTTAAGTTTCTCAGAATTGATGGCCTGTTCAGGTGCAAGAAGCCGGAAGATAATGAAGTAACCGTTTACTGAAACAATCGTTACAGTTTTTATAGTTAAAATCATACTCATTTTTAAACGGACGAATTGGCGTCAATATTTGTCGTAATAGAGATATCTTCTGCCAATGTCATGGAAGGCAAGCAAAATATAGCAACACCAAGAAGCAACATAGAAACATTGAAGTTGCAATTTGTTTTTGTAAGGAGTATAATCTCGAAAGAGACTATATGTGGGTGTGGGTAGTGGTGTAACGGAACAGTTCGGTACCCTTAGGAATATTTTGCCTGGGGGTCCTTTCACAATGAAATTTTTTCAAGACAATCAATTTGAGCTTCGAAAAAGATCTCTCAGCGGTAGCTACAGTGACAGGATTTGTGGCGAAAAAAAGAGCTTTGTAGACCTGTGGAAATGAAGAGCTGACTCGACTTTCCAACATCAAGTCAACCAAGTCTAAAGTTGTCCATTTCTCTTTTTTCCACGCGAAACTCGTTAGCAAATGCCCGTAGCTCTGATTCTAAGTCTTCTCTAAAATCTTTAGGATATAGGCTTTGTCTTTGTTGGTGGCTCTTTCGAAACGGTTTGAAAAAAATATCGAACGTTGGAGTAACCAGATCTTGGCCACAAAATCTTTCTTTAAGCTGCATCAAAGCAGTATCGACAGCTTTAAGAAACACATTGACTTTGAATGTTTGTTCTGGGGTATCGAAAACGATGTCCTTAAATGCTCCAATAACGGACCTTCTACTTTTTGGCTTGAAATCAACTACTGTGTGCCAAGCACTAGCCAAAGCAGAAGCAGTTTGCTTAACAGAGTCCTAGGACTCGCGTATAGCAACAAGCTCTGAAATAGAGCAACATATCAATCGAGATGCATCAGTTAAGTCAATTTTTGGGATTGCAATTCACGAGCAGTTGTACCGAATGCCTGTAGAATTCCTAAATAAAAATAAAAAGAACGAATTCATAAGAATCCATCCTTTCTTTGAGTCTTTTTGCATCATCTTGCTCATTTTTGTTTTTTATGTCGACAATGCTAGTTAAAACTGTCATAATATGTGGAAATCTATCACCGAATATGTTAAATCGAAAAAAATGAAAAACATTCTTCAATGTCCCATAGACATTATCATTCTCCGGTACTGCCCCCCATGGGCCAATAATGACCAGATTCAAGTTGTGGCTGCCACAATGAACAAATGGAACAGGGCTGTCAACCATATTTTTTATCAACGTTTGCATACCAGCATGTATTCCACTCATGACTTTTGCACCATATTCTTGGTCTCTAATCCAAGTCCGGATTACTCCCATTTCATCGAAAGGAGAACACCAGGATTTAAGATACAGCGATGGTTTTTAACAAGTTAGAAGAAAAAAGGCATCGTGCAACCTGTTAACGGGAGAATATTGACTTGTTAAATCCATTTTCACCAAAAATAGTGCAAAAAGGCCTGTTTATTGAAAATCTTTGTGGGGGAGGGGGGCTAAGGAGTTGCTCTAACCCTAACCTTTGTCGGTTACGCCACTGGGCGTGGGCGTCTATTGCTATGATACATTAGTTTACCCAGGCCACATGATGTTCAAGCCTTTGCTTTAAATATTTTTCTATTATAACCCGCAAAGTCACTTTTTCTTGCCCAGCAAAACCACACACCTCCCTACAAAGAAAGAGAGTATGGATGTTTCCATGTTGTCCCCTGGCCTGCAATGGAAGACTTTTCGAGACCATTTACGGAGTAATCTTTTTAAAAGCAATCGACAGATGCCAAAGTGATATAAGCTATTTGTAATTCAAAATTTGCTAAATTCATAAACTAAGAGCCTCTCACACACCCTTAATGATCGGTCTATACTTGATTGACAGGTAGGTTAGTCCACAAAAAGTATCTATCGATTCGATTGCCTTTAAGATTCCTAAACCCGTTGGATGTTTTTCTCTATTCTGTGTGATCCCATAACCGGAATCAAATTATGGACGTAAGAAGCGCCCAGAAATGGAAGATTTGATATCTGGGACTTGCTTCTTTTGGTTAATCTTAGGTCTTGCGTCAATTTGTTCTGAACTGTGGCTGTCAAAAACACAGGGGCGTCGGAGGCATGGTATTTAGATCTGGGTGCGCGGCAAAAAGAAGCTTTTTATACTACAGGAATAAGGCAGCGGGGCCCTTTTAAGGTAAAAATAGGCACCTCTCACCAAAAAAGCACAATTTATAGTCGGAGAAAATGGGGCAGGATCCCCGTAGACCCACCTATCTCCTAACCCACTGGTCAACACTCTGGTTTCAACAAAACGTTTGACTCCTACCCAAAACTCTGGTCTATATAAAGTTTAAGAATGTTTAAAGATAATGATAAAAAGTTCTTCGAATAAGATTGTAATTTGCAGGTAAATGACTTTTAACAATTGCATTAATTTGTATTCAATCCATTTTAATATCTTTATAGTTTTTCAGCTCCTTGTGTTTATTGTACCGAGAAACATATAAAAATTTTTGAAACCATATATAGAGAATTGATTCTTGTAATCAGATTTCAAGGACATTCGAGATAAAACAAGGGTATACCATTGCTGCATTTCTTTATACTTGCAACGAATGTTGTGCCTTTGTCAACTTTCAGTCCAGCTTTAGATTAACTTTGTTCAGCTGCAAATATGTATTTATTTTATATTTGTAGCAGCAATGAAGAATTAATGTTAGAAACGCTGTTCTTGATTTCATGTCATTGGATGTCCTTTAAAAAGAGATTTAAAAGAAAATTAAAATTTTGTTCTAATAGCCTGTCACTAGCCCAAGGCTGCTCTACCAAATTTATAAAACAACTTTTGGTCCCTACGCATAGGAGCATATAGCAGGATGCAGTCACCAATTGCGCTTATTACTACCGACCATGTAACCAATTATACTCAAGGGTGAAGAGAGACACAAAATCACATTGCTCAAGCGTATTATCTTTGCAAGTTTTGGATTTTAACCACTACACCAAAGAGGCCAGAAATTATAAACAAAGCAAACTTAAGCTGGACTAGAGCAAATACTTACGGCCGGTTCCCAGTTGAGCGAATTATTCAGCAAATTCGCCGAGCGTATTTCCTTCCATTCAGAGGGAAAGAGGGAAGCTGTGTTTCGCTGGGAAGTTAATCTCCTTTTAACTTTCACATTTCGCTACCGAAGTCGCCTATATCCGGAAAGAAAAAAGAGATTCCAATCGCTGAAAAATTCGCTGAAGATTTCGCTCATGTGGAAACCGGACTTCATGGGGTTAATTCTTTGGGATAATGTTGCGATTAAGCTAAAACTCAATGAAAGGGCATAAAAATAACTTAATAAATTTCATAGGCGTAATAGTACCCCCTGAGATTACAATACATTAAAGGTTCATACGAAATCAACAAGTTATATGTTGATGATTACATTACTGTCAATGATCATTAAAAGGCATTTTGTACAAGACTCTTAGACCAGACATCGAAAGACCGGACCCAGGCAATTGTTTAACGGTAAATTCTAACATTCGATTAAGTGACTGGTCTATTACCCAGGGACTGGGTGCATCAAATTTGATCACTGAGCAAATGGGAGGGGGGGGGGGTGATTTACTTTCGATTCAATGTGTAATAATTTCATCTTAGACTTGGAACGTTGCCCCTCAAAGCAAGGTCTGATTGGGATCAATATCTCGTTAAGTCTGCATTTATTAAACAGATTGTGGATTATCTCAGCTGTTACATTGTATTTGACAACAAAGGGAATGTCTACAAATATGTGGTGGATGTTGTTTAACAAAAGGTGTGATTGCATCCATTTTGACTACCACTGTTCAGCCTTACCGGGTCTACCATCGTCATACCAGTATCAAACCATCAAGCCTAGTATACCACTATCCACCAAGTTTGATCCATTTCGAGCAAGGAAAATCAGACTACGGCTCAAATTTTAATCCAAATCGCTTTACACTACAGAGCCAACCAAGAAGAACAATTATTAGGGTCAATTAGACAATATTATTTGAATATTGCGACATCTTGCATCCTTTAAAAACAGATCAGGATTCTAGAAGAAGCCTCAATTTAAAAGCAGAGTCTCTATAACTTGCCTTCAATAATGAGCCCACAATTGGCAAGTTGATAGTTGAAATTTGGGGGGAAATTCAAAGAGTCTTTTTGGCCTTCTGTTCGGTGCACTTTGCTGGCTGTGTATGCAATGTTGAAATTTGCCTTTTTGAGTATCTTTGATCTTATAACCAAATCTGTCGATTGGCTATTTGCTATTTGTTTCTCAAGACATTAATTCAACAGAAGATGCAAACCCAAATAAATCGAACATTATGTTCAATATTTTGCATCTTTGCAAAAGCTTTTGCAGCTCAAACCTGGCATTTAATCACGCATCAAGGTAAAGAATAACAATAATAAAACTTGAAAATGAAACTCAAAAGTGTAAACAACAGAATCCGAATGGATATAAAGCATGGATCTTCATCAACAGGCTAATTAATGCAATGTTTGGGAAGATTGCTTTCTACATGTGGGCTAACTATGTGTTTAAACTTGTTATCAACTTTTCAATCAAATACCTGCTGGTATGATATCACTATTATCTTTTTGCAAATTAGAGGATTGGCATTCGGCAACAGGACCAACATTTTGTTTGATGAAGCCTATTTCAATGCAATCTTTGCGGGTGATAATTCGTTACCTTTTTGAAAATTGGGATAAGAATTATTAAACCAGCATCAATATTTTGACCAACATTTGTCAGTAAATCGAAGATGCTTTCAACTTGCAACCAAGATTACACGCAGCATCGATATAAATGCATTTATGGACTAAAAAGTCTGATTGCTATGAAATTATCCGTATGGATTAGAAAAATATATTTTCTTAAAAGAATGTAAATAGAAGACTGTTTCACTGTTGCCAGGCATTGGGCCTACGGAAAACTTAGGCTTAACAGTACAGCAAAAATCACAAAAACATGACAAAGAAAAAGCGCTATTTGCTCAGCTAGTAAAACAAAGACAAATTGAACCAACTAAACGCCCATCAAATATCTGGTGAAACTATTACCAGCCTAAATCAATAATATTCTGAATTGGTGTTGCTCTAAGAGTCCTGGTTATAGTGAAAATATTTGAGGATTTAATGGCTGTCTACGAACATTCAGATTTTGATAATCCGGGTTTCTTTAAGGCAAGAAGCGTTCATAAGATCCAAATATAGAGTTTCAAAGAAATGACGTCGCAAAAGCCTTCTCTCTAGAATTTTTTAACTTGAACCACTTAAACTGAACCTCAAAATGTGCAAATTAGTTTAATGTCTAACAGATTGGCTGAGAAATGGCCTCATAAGCACAGGTCTTTTCCTTATCAAATTTGTAATGAAATTATTGTTTACCAGTCTGTCATAAACTGCTCGATGTCGAAAAGGCAAAGCTCTACACGCTTATAATGTATAGAGCAGTACGGTTCCAAGTTGCTACTCCAAGGCTCACGCTTAATGCGATCATCAATAAACTTCTATCATCGGGACACTTACCTTATGATCGTTTCAACCGTGAAACTTGGATTACTGAGAACTACTGAGAACTACTGAATTGGCTACTGAGAACTGTCCTGTTCTATACACTAAAAACGTTTTTCTATTCATATCCATTCCGTAACTACACTCAATAACTTGCGTACTTCTATTCACAGTCATTCTTATCCATTCACATTCAATAACTACATCAATTATGTCATATTGCAATAAATCGGATGTCATTGTAAGAACTGCTGTCTTTACGTTATTATTTGCTCACATTATTAGAGCTTTTTCTTATCAAATATCAACACCATAAAAGGTTTATACCTTTGGGTGAAAAATTGGTTCTTAAAGGTAATGTGTCCAACTAAAGCAAGCAACTCTGCAGGGGTTTCAGAAACATGTGATTGCTCATGTCATCGTCCCAGCCATTACAGTCGTTCTGTTTATCTACCCTGCTGCGATGTTAGCTTTTCACGTGAGCAGTTTTGCATCGCAAGAATACTAACCAATCGCAAGCCGTTCTTTTGATAGATGGCTTGACAAGTTGGGTATACGCAGTCCTTTTATATGGACACATTACCTTTAAGATTCTTGCGATAGTTGTAGGGAGTACTCAAGGCTGCAAAAGGAAATTTTTCGAAGTATACCTACAATCCCTGTCAAAGGTCCTTGAAATACCCAGTTGCTTAATTGCTGTTTCTAAAATTTTAACTGTTTCCAGTAAAAAAGACGGACGCCGCACCCCTTCTTCCCCAAAGCGATGTTAGGAGTAGAGTTTAATAATTTTAAATGATGTCTAAGCTATCATAAAGGAGTCCACTGGATGGCATCGAACCTCTTAACACTGCATAAGAAAACTTTGTTGAGAGAGGTAGGGGTGCAATAATGAATATTTCGAAATTCAGTGAAGTTTACTATAAAAATTTGGCAGAAACTGTAAGGTTTGAGATTCAATTTCGTTGAGAGCTGTTGCTACGACGAGAAAATGACTTTCAATGCCATTAGGCAGTGCTGCTTCATCTATCCAAAGCTCTACACTTCCAAAAGCTGCATCATCATATCCTGGTTTCCAGAAAACTCTTCATTCAAATACTATTTGGTTTTTAAAACGAGACCGGAACTGCAACTTACAAGCAGCTGATGTTCATTGTAAGCCAGATATTACAAACAAACAAAAATACAGAAGATGTTTAAAATTATCACGCAGGTGATTTGATGATTCTGTTACATCCAGACACCTGTTCAAACAACCGGACACCTGTTCAACTGCTTTCAACACCTTTAAAGCAAATTGGCCAGGCTACATAAAAACACAGTGTATTTCACACGTTAAATACGTGAACACTTGTTAAACTGACTCAAGGACAACAAGACTTTTGCACAAGTCTTCCCACAATTATATGTTTTAATCGAATCTTCAAATATTGAGCAAACACGTTGATAAAGTATCAGACATGTATCTGTTGCTATCATTTGCAAAACTCCCAGGACAATCTTCACCCTCTGTTAAGCAGATTTAAAGAATGGTTTATAATGCCAACACTTTTTTTCATGAAAAATATTCTCTTCAAACAGTAGAAATATTTTCTTTTTTATGTTTGATGTTTTCCACCAGATTTCTTGTAGACAGATAGGTCCATTTTGAAGAGTTCTTCTTCTTGAGACTTCCGAAGAAGTTGTTGTTGTTGAATTGATAAGCGTTCTTTCACAAGTTAACAGTTTGTTGAGTTAAATGTTATTATTCACATTACTGTGACTAACAATGTCGAAGTTGAAACTCGATATCATCATGTTTTTTTCAACAACCACAGTCATAGAATACTTAAATGTAACTTAGAGTGTTTTGAATGTTATGATGCGAAAAGAAACGTTTTACAGAGGGGATATTTGAGGAAATGGGTTTGATAAAAAGAGGTTGGAGTGTGATGGAAGCTAGGGCTTCAAGTCTCCATTTGTCAAAATTTTTATTTACATCTGTTGTTTATGAGCCTCCCTTTCTTCATTCAATGGCAATACATAACCGATTCATTTATCTGTTAGATCTTTACTGAAGTTTTGACATCATACTTTGCTATGAAAATTAAAAGTCATTAAAGTTTCAAAGAAAAATGTATTGAGACTACATGAAAAGCATTTAGCATTTAAATTTCTGATATTCTTCAGAGCATTTGACTCAGTGCAGATTCAAGATATTATGAATGCAAGCAAAAATATTCCCCGATAGCTTCGATCTCAAGCAAACACACAGAATATGTTTCTTATTGCAGGTTTGCTTCGTGATTTGATCGACAAACCAACATTTACTAATATTGCATTTTTTGTCCTCGCATTGCGCTGTTTCTTCTTGAATGTTTATCGTTATTACGATATTGAGATAACACGGCGGACGGTCTACCTAACTTTCTGTCTTCTCGCATATATTCATGATTTGCCATGGTAATGGAAGGTGCCATATTCAAAAAGCCTCTTGGTGGCTTATTGGCAAATACTCTTTTCAGAAAGCAAGTTCTGTTTGAGAACCGATCTTTTACATAATTCATCGGCCACCTGCAAATTTGAATATCTCAAGTGGGAACAAAAACATAACTTCATGATTTCCTTTCTGTCTCGAAACTGGAGGTTATGGACATTGTGTTTAGATTAAGTCAGCGGTTTGATATTAGGCCAGACCATTGATTCTGCATGTTCTTCCAGCCTCAAGCCACTGCTGATTTTCCAGAAGGGCTCGTTACAGTATTACATGTAAGTGTTTGAGCTTAATGAACTGCTATAAACTATAAAGTTTTATTGTTATGGTTACTTTGATTAACAGCTACGTTCATGAAATCTCGGTCTTTACAATATAACTACCGACAGTGCAGCTCTGTTTCCCTATAAATTGTGAAATAAAAGTTTCACTTTTCATATGTTACTTAGATCAGTTATTTTCATTAGGCAAGAAGTGACTTTCAAGGAGATTCGATAAAACACAAAGAAAAATTGACTGTGCAATGTTGTCAATGATTTGATTTGACCTATGAGTAGAATATGTTGCAATGCTCCACATTTAATGAACACAAGTTCGAATTCTTGATTTCGAATGACGTCATGCCTTTCATACCACTATTCCTTTTATTCCTCCTGCAATATTTTAATCATATTTTCCATTGCCATGCATTACAATACATCGCAAAGGACAGTCTTTTAAGCTGTCGCCTTAGACCGAGATGATCTCTTATGAGCTTGAAGATACTAAGGTACTGCGAGCAGGACACGCGGTTCTGCACTGCAGTGCAAGCAGAGATACCTTGATATATTGGCATATTCCAGCTCTTATGAGAAGCAGTTGTAAGACCTGCATAGCAAACATGTTCAATTATTGATAGTTATAAGCGTGCAGACTTCGACATAAAATGGGAAATCTTTTTGAAAGATCGGAAGTGTTTGTGCAGACGGTCAATTAAAAAGATGATTGAAAATGCACGTGTTTTTTAAAGTAGAGTGCTTTGAAAAAGTTACAGTTAATCAATCAATTTGAAGTAAATTCAGTAGCGCTACCTTGCACAAGGAATGGTAACTAAGTTTTGAGATTCTATGAATATTTGATTTCTGAAATGTGCAACCTTCATCAAAAATTGCAATATTAAAGACCAATAAACAGAACATTTTATAATGAAAATAAAGAATAAAAATAGAATAATCATAAGACCATAAATATGTTATTATTTTTGATTGAGACAAACTTTCATCTTGTCAGAGGGTTTCAATTCTTTGCATTACCGATTCCAAAGAAGTTTTGCATTCTTTTGAAGCCATAGCGAGGCAACTTCAAAAGCAGGGCCTATTCACACTTTCTATATAAGGGGAAAGGGGCATGCCCCCTCTAGGCCCGGTGACATACGTCAGTTAAAACAATAGTTCATCGTATCGGATATATAACAATGAGAGGTAAGGGGGCTGCAGCTTTTTAGCCGGGCAAAATCTATCGCACTCCAGACTCCATTTTGACAATTTGATCTCAATGAGGCAAAATATTCGGGCAAGATCTAGATTGAGCCACATCTCTAAAAGTTTAGCGTCCGCTATTTCACCAATTGATGCAACCCTGCATATATTGCATCTGCCTTGGATTCAAGAAGTTTTTCTACTAAGGACTAAAAAATTTTTCTACTAAGAAAATGAGTCCAGCCTAATTAAAATTCATACCGTTTACATCTTTGCAGACCCTGACAATGCATGGGTAGAATACTTATTTTTTTCTTGCCTTACACAAACATTCATGTATTGATTGGTTTTCCTTGGTTTAATTCTTGCTCAAAATCAACGTAAGCATTCCATTTGGCATAAAAGAATCTGTTTGGTCACTTGAGGTCAGTGAAGCACTCAAAGCTTGCTGCTTTAAGGTTGTGAGATCATTGAACCTTCTGACAAACTCAAAGCACGTGATCTTCTCTTCTTTAAATAGACAGAACAGCAAAATAAACTAAATTGCAAACGAATATTCAGGTATAACGTGAGAGCTGACCAGAAATTAAGGAATATGGCAAACGATATAGAATCATTCTGTGCTTAACACAGTGAACCTTCAATAAAATATTTGATGGTAAAGTGGTAGCAATAAAATCAAACATGAAATTCATCTCGAACTTGCCGACGGTTTCTCTTAAATTTAAAGATCAGCATTTGTGATTTTCACTTGATAAAGCCTTCACGTGCCGAAGGTCCATAGGATCTTAGTTGCTAGATTAAGGAGGCTAGTTAAATAAGCCACAGTACCTCTATGGTTTATGTAGGTAGACGTCTATCTTTGGAGACAAGCAAAACATTTCGAAGTTGCGTAGCTACTGAACAGGAGGCTATGCTAAAATGCCCCAAAAGCTAATTCCTGATAAATATGCACAACTTGTGGTATTGTAAGCAGCTGGTTATCTTCGTCATTTCGAAATTGTATATCTTATTGATGTTTCTTCAAAATAAAACTATTTAATAATTAATTGACTATTTAAATCGTGATTTACGTTCGACAGTTTAGAAACCACAAAGGTTTTTTGTAGTTATGTAGCACCAAGTTTGGTTAATATTTCATGAGACAGCAACGTAGCATATTCAGAAATGCAGGCCTAAAATCTCTCTCTTCAAACGGTTTCTAACCAATCTTCTTGTGCATCAAAGATAGAGGTTTAAATTGATTACCTATCAACTTGACTTATCTTCAAAACTGAACTTAAACATGAAACTTAACAAAGGCATTGCCATCCGAGGTGAAAGAGATCTTATGATGTGATTTTTTGGCTGACAACTTATGATGATCATATCTTCATATTGAATGGATGATATTTTGACGATGCTGTTGTCAGATTTGATGAGTTATATAATATGATGTTGACATTGTAATGTAGAATGATTGACGTCATATGACGTCGACATTGTCATAACAAACGAGTGACATTGTAAATTTGTTGTTATCAACTGGATTAGTGCTGCTGTTTGTCATAACAAATGAGTGACATTGTAAAGTTGTTGTTATAAACTGGATTAGTGCTGTTTTACAATATTGTGCATCGATTTCTTTATTCCATCAGGCCAATTAAAAATCATATCTTGTAGAAATATTAGAATACTTAAATAATTAATGAGGAAGTGGTAATATTTATTGTAAAAATTTAAGAGTATAAGTTAAAATTGTTAAGTATAAATGAAAATTAATGAATGCTTCTTTTTTTAAATTTTAAACTCTCCTAGAGCTGAAAAAATACAATTAAAGGAAATAAAGCTTTTGTAAATATTTTAGTATTTTGTAAGTGGAATTGAAAAATACATATTTTATATCTATAAAAAAGTGTGTACTTATGCATCTTGAAAATTGATTGCTAATCAATTGAAAGGACATCTGTAATGTATAGATGTGAGAAAGAATAAAATATAAAAGATTGAATTGATTAATGTCTTGAAACATTCCTTAAAATAATAGTTTCAGGTATTTGATAATCATTTTTTTCACGAAATACGCTTATTCGTTTATTTATTGGCTATTCATTTCGGTCAAAAGCGTTTATAGTGCTCAAAATATTTTAGGGTCCTAAAGGGCTTTAGGATACAAAAATCTTTTAGACAAAAATGTGTATAAGTTTTATACCAGAATGTGTTTAGTTCGTTTAGAGTTCTGAATACTTAGGTTTTTCTAGTTATTGTGGTTTTTAAAAGCGAATCCTTTTTATTTCAGAAATTAATGTATTGGTGGATTAGAATGAAATTTTTTCAATGCTTGAAAAGTGCCGATAAGTAAAGACGGCATTGCCTTTCTTTCTTATATCTTCGTGAGCGAGCCATGGTTTGCTCAAACATCTTTCTGTGCAGTAACAGCTGCAATGGTCTGAAAACAGAGAGTGGCTTAGAGCTTTGACCGCATCGTCATGAAATATTTAGCGTTGAAATAAACAGGTTTTAATTTGGGATATTTATCGACTTCATGCATTCATTTTGTAGATGCTGGTTTAGCGGAATCGCCGAATTCAAGAAATCTTCAAAACCCACGTACGTGTTTGCTGAAAGCTGAAATCCCAAGGTGAGTACTGCAGTTTCAAAAATATGACTGTACAAGTCAAAATTACGATGAGATATTCAATTCAACAAGAAGATGAATTGAATGAAGTTAGATGAATTAATTTTTCGCTCAGGCATACTGGGCTTCATTAAAGTGAGTGAGTAATGAGCACAATGTTTTTCAATAAAGTTGATTTTGATACCATCATGCTAATCATGTATGGTTGAGATGTCTCTCGCTTTCTTTGACCTATTTAATGTTCAGATAAGAAAATTATTTGCAACAGCCATGGTTTATCAAAGCAAATTTGAAGGCATTTCGATGAGCTTTGAATGTTTCAGACGAAAAACTCGGAAAGAGTTCAGAATTTCCTAGTGCAATGGATATGAAGACAAATCTTTTTCATTAGGTGCAAAGCGCATTGCGATATAATTTAGACCAAATGCATTCTTACATTAGCAATTTTTCATATGCAAGTTATACATAGTTCCGTTGCTCAACAGGAGAGGAGAATAGACAAAGCAACGACAAGTGCTTGCTAAGCTTGGACAAATTGCTAAACTCTGACAACTTTTCTTGCTTTTTATCATTAATGGTCTTATTTGATCGTTTTGCTAATAAATAATAAAATTTTTGAATAGTTGCACTAAATCAGGAAAATTCAAAGTTTAGAATTCAAAATTCAAAGCCATTTCTTAAAGTTTAGAAAAACATGAGAGCTTGCTGTTGCTTAAAGTGTTGTTGGAGAAAATGTTTACATTAAAAATTCTGATTTACATTTTGCGTAGCTGTATTGGTTAGAGATATCTACGCAAAAGTTGTAACTCTTGTTTTCATTTATTCCAACGACATGGAATAGCCAAAGGCTACGTATGACGTTCAAAGCCCATGCATAATTCAATCTGCGTTGATACGCAAGATGTTAGCCGTAGAACTATTTCAATTGTAATTCGGCCGATGGTTGGTAAACAAACATCATATCTGGCATAAGCTTGTTTCATTTCATATAACATATTCCATTCAACGGTCCTGTTTGTATAAATTTGTGAAACATGATTCAACGGACTTCATTTGACATATATTCTCAACTCGACAAAAATCTTTTCAGATGTATAAAAATCATAGATCTAACATTCTAATAAACGTTTCTTCGATCATCTGATTGTATACAACGATTCGTTAAAATTTTGGAATTAACTGAATTCAAATTAATATGATGTACCCAGAAATTTATTGACTATCGTGTGCAGTTAGGAGTTTTGAAAGTTTTGAATTTTCAGTTCCAACATTTTCAATTTAAAAGCTAATTCATCTGTTCTTTGCTATTCTACCTGCCATTAATGTTTTGTGTCTGGACAGCGGGAAACCTATTTCAATCAAAACACATGATCCTTCCTCTGACGTGATTTCGACCTGCACCTTGATATGAACTTCTTTAGTAATTCTCTTTATTCGCCGTGTTATACTCTGACAAGTGCCAGTAGACGAAAAACAGCACTTATGTAAGTATCACACACGTCTAATTTTTCGTACAGCTTTGACAATGATTATTTTGAGTGTAGAATATCTTATTTTTAAAAGTTCCGAAACAAAGATGGACGCAGACCTGGCCCATTTCTGGAAGAAAAAAAGATTTTCTTAGCTTTGTAAATTATGGTCAAGTTTTTTCAAGCGGTAAATTCAACCATTTTCCACAATTTTTCAGTAAGTTCAATGATTTTCCGCGATATTACAGTAAATGCTGATCAAGAGCAGAAAAAAGGGATAATTATTAAATTATTTTGTCTACTTCGAAAATACTTGGAAAGCTTAAACTTTCCCTTTGTGTTTAAATGAGAACAAACAAACGACAAAGAACTAATAACACTATTATTTTCATCTATACAATATCTTGTACCAGGTGTGCGTCCACCTTTTGACAACTTAGGCCAATTGATTGGTTCTCATTTATGCTTTGCTTTGCAGGTTAAGATCAGGAGGCATTTGAGAATGTAATCTAAGTTTACGCTCTTCGTGTGTATTGGCAAAGTGAGTTAATCAATATTTTAAGAGCAATTTGTTTGATTTATTGAAGGTAACGAGGTGGTAAGGCCAAGATGCAATCGTCTGCGACAAGTAAGAATGCCTATGACAACATTGTATATTATCAAAATCTCCTGCTGAAGAAAGAAGGCCTAAATAGCTGGGTGGAGTACTGGGCCGTTATCAGAGGGAGGTGGTTACTCTTCTACGAGCCAGTAGAAAAGGGCGCAAGACCTACGAAACTTGTGAAAACGTTAGAGTTACCAAACGGGACAAAGTGCTCCATGGTTCCTAGATCCAAGCGTAGATTCCCTTTTTCATTGAATAATGGTCACGGTAGCTATTACTTGAAATGCGAAACAGAACTTCAACGTTACACGTGGGTTGTTTCAACGCTGCTAGCCGCAACCGGTCAGCCTCCGAAACCAGTACCGAGGTCGGTGCCCAAAGACTTTGCCGAGTCAACAATCGATCCGAAAATGGCAAAATTTGGCAAAAAACTAGAACATAGTAACCAAAAACTAGAAAGCAAGAAAACCGGACAAAAAACAAACAACGTTAGCAAGCATAGGATAAGATACGCGCAGAGACTTGAATCCAAGGCGAAACGGTACCTTTCGAAATCCGAGGAAGATTTGCGACCGAGCTGTGAGGAAAGTGACGATGAAATCGAAGCTCGTCGCCCATACTCCGCACGTGATCCGAGACAACATTATACATACTCAAAAGGATTCAAGGATAGTTACAGCTTAGGCGCAGGTGCTTACGGAACGAGAAACTCTGACATAAAAAGCTTGCGAAGAACGAGCAGTCACAGCTCAAGTTCTATAGAGATACATGCCCAGGTGCACTCTCCTGATCCAATGAAAATGTCATCAAAGTACCCAGTCCGGTCAATTGAAGATGAGGAAACCCCCGTCATGAGCATCGTCCAAATCGATAATGACGAATATGGAACTGTTCACGTGATAAGTCCGGACGATGCACTTCCCAATATGGTTGTCGAAGAAAGAAAACGAGCAGTCCCGAAATCTGCTCGCACAAACAAAGAAAACGACCGTTCCCGGGGATTGACGATTCCACATCAAATGGTCCATTCACACAGCATGAATGACCTGGGTAAAACCAACCAGGCTATGAGCATGGACGATGAGGTGGTCAGGATCGAAGCAATGCCCCTTGGCACTAGTAACCGAACTCGGACTGGACTATCCGGCTTGTCTTCTCCTAGGATCACTAATAAGAAGAATCATGCAGAAACAGTTTCGAAGGAAAAGGCTGCGGAGAGGTTCAATCCAAGAAAAGGAAACTCTCCTAGAAGTCCGGTTCCAAAATCAAGATACTCGAGATACAACATCCCTTCGAGTGAAGCCTAGCCATGGGAGTTATCACGAAACGGAACTATTGGCTATGGATGAATCGATGTAAGGACTACTCAGTTTCAAATGTTACCAGCTTTATAAAGGCCCACAAATGAATCGGCTAACAGATTAGGATGAGAACAACGAGCTGTTTTCTATTAGTTGTTCTAACTTCCTGAAAAAACCGAAGTGTAACATGAAGAATCAAACTGTTGTAGTGCATTGATATGATCCAAAGTCAAAGACCATACACTAAGATTAAACATTGTCGTAATTCAGAAAACTGAATTCTTTCTTGCACGTTTATTCGTTTCTGAAAATTATGCATACTTGACGGCAAAGTTTAAACGTTTCGAATAATCTCTCGATCCATATTTGTTCACACATTTTGGTTAGAAAGCCAACTCTGCTTACCTCCATATTGTCGAGTTATCCTTCTGTATTGTGGATAAAACCAAGGCTGAGCCTTCACTAGATTTTTGAGTGTGAGCAGGACTTGAATGTATAAATAAAAATGTTTGTGTGTACATCTATACTAGATTTTTGACATGATCCTTGACAAGGAGTTTTACTCTAAATAGCTTAACTTTAATGTAAATTAATTGTTCCTATCTAAAATGGGGTTTAACATCCATTTTAGGGTTTTAACATATGAGATCCTGACTTTGTTTTGCCATGCGAATATTCAACTGGAAAATTCTCACCAGTAGGGAAAAGGTGTCCAGTGGGCTTGTGTCTTGTAACATGAGAGTCTAGTCCTACGCTATGTACGTTCAGCTTGGACTAAAGCTTGGACTAACGTTCAGCTTGGACTAACGCACGCTATGCTACTAATGATGATAGCTCAAGGCTTCGTTCACATTTCTCCTTATTCGTTTCTCTCCGTTTTCGTTGATGAAAATGACGTCCGTTCACACTGATCCGTTTTTAAGTGAATAAGTTATAAATACCGTAAGTGTTCACACGGCTCCAACAAAAACGATGTTGGTAGCCTCATTCTTAAACAGAGACTTTCGCGATTTCTCTCACAAAGTTGGCCCTATAAATAGAAAATTGGATGAAATGAAATCGTGAATAAGATTTGCGTAAAAAACCCTTTTGTTGTCATTCTAAAATGTTTGGGATTTGGCATGCCATTTATGTTGTAGAGTATTCAGATGTCTCTATTTTGGCTGTGTACATTGAACACGGAGCGTACCCCATCATACGCACAGTATTCACAAGTATTCGTATTTATCTGCATTTTCAAATGAATCTGTTTGAACAAAATCACTTCACAGAGCAGTTTAAGCGCAAGGCAAAAATTGGACGAGTTTGACTCCGTTTTCATATGAAAACGGAGTGGTGTGAACGTGGGTTACAAACTGCAGCTAGATTTGTCATAAATTACGATAACATTTTCCCAGCCTCGACATTCTCAAAATGTTTTCGTTTTGAGCTTGAAAATAATTCTTAAAGTATTTTTTTAAATCTGATTTGATTCAGGGGAACATAGCCACCCTCAATAAGAAACTACGCATTTTAAAAAAAAACGAAATATGTCAGTTCTGCGATTACCTTTTTTGAACGTCGCAAAACAGGCAACTGTTGAGCAAAATGAGACACAAATTTACAGCAGAGGCTGAGACTACAATATTCTTAAAATTGGATGATTCTGAGTCTGGAAAAACTAATATACAACATTATGAAAAAAGTGTAATTAAAAAAGGCCGTCATTTACAGTTCGTTAAACGAAGCTCTCTTTAGTTACAATTAGGTTTTGATAAGATTGTTCATAAGCCAGACCAAAGTTATGAATTATAGCATTTTCATGTTCTTCTTAATCAGGCTTGCCTAACCATCAGGCGAATGGCAATTAAATTAATAATTAGTTAAATACTTATGAACTATTATTTGATACGATGTTGTTGTAAAATGTATTTCTTCATTGTTCATGTTGCAAAGATTTTTACGTGAGCTGAATTTCTTCTTGCGTTCATACTTCTCAAGATTTTTAGTTGATTTAATCAAAATTACGGTGTCGTGAATTAAAAAGATAACTAAGACACTCAAGACACCGGCAAAGAATTATTTCCAGTCCTAAAGAAAAGGAAGCTTAGAGGCGTGCTTGGAAGAAAAGCTAGGCCAGGTAACTTCTCACTCACCATTTCTTGTTCCTTTTCATTTTCAGGTCGTGAAGCAGACACCAGATATTCTATAATATTTTATGGATTTCATAAAGATACTTTACTGAAGCTCAGCGTGAGATGGCCAATGTTTTTCAGTACTTGAATCACACGTTTATTGAGCATATCTTCGTTCAACTCAATGGTCTTTTCAATGGTCAATGAGTCCAGCTTGTTCAATCTTGTTGTAGAAAATGGCGGGGAACTTCATCCTGACTATTCCCACTTGGGGTTTCAAAGAATGCAGTCTTTGTTATTTGGAAAGCATAACGGACTGATTGGTTGTTAGTGAGATCCCCTTCTAGGGAATCCTTTGAAACACAGGGAATACAGCTTTACAGTAATGGACATCGCGTTCGATTTACCATATAGGGTTAGTACTAATACATACGAGCAGCCTCTAAGGTCATCCATGGGCACTGACATGTAGTAAATACAGCACATATCCCAAAGCATAGAATATAGAAAAAGTTTATCTTAACTGAAAATTATTTTACATAAGTTCTGAAAATTAAGCATATGAGGATGTAAAACTTTGACTTATGTGAATACGAGTTTAAAATGATTGTGAAAAGCAGATCGTAACAGACAGCATTCTAGAAATCTTAGTTAATTTTTCAGCAATTTTAGCTCTTTAATCTGTGCCGAGGCTGAAAATGTTTGCGGACATTCGAGTGATCATAAATGGCAAAGGGGAAGGGGGGTGGTCAAAAATTTCTTTTTTCACTTCCCTCAAGTGTAATTAAAATGCGAATTTCGACAGCTAGGGGTACCGGCATTCTTAGACATAACACATTTAGTTTGAAAGAGCCATTGCGAATGGCTGTATTTTTGAAAAAGGATATGGTAATGGTTGCCAAAATGGTCGGTTAAGTTAGCATGGTACGCTTTCAAATTGACTTTCCGGTAAACTCTCGTTCTAAATTCTTGAAAGATTAAAAGAAGCCTAATTGTTTGGTTGAAAAAAACCGTCCAACGATGTCTGTACCAAGGAATTCACATCAGTATTGGACTATAAAGTGTAGTATTTGGGATTTAAGTATGCTCACATAGAAATGATAATTGTGCGGAGGAGAGACGTAGTTCGCTTCCCATTGACGTGGGCATTGATATATTAACTGTTTAACCAGCGTATAACCTATTCTGTGTAAGCTAGTAGGAACATGGTTGAGTAGTAGCAAAGGTTCATTTTAAAAAAAGGGGGTCAGTTGACGAGACCTTGCCAATATCCTTATATGGTAATTACAAGTTTCACGAACAGACAGAGAAGTACTAAGAATATTCGCAATAAAGTATTTTGTTTCGCACAGTCTTCTCAATAAAATGAGTGATGCTTACCCCATTGTCCTTTCAGGCACTCCGGAGAAGAGAGGCTGGGGGTTATGGCCTCCCACTTTTTGCAAAAGTGCAAAAAAATGCCAATAAATCACCAGTCATGCCACTTTTTATTCGGTTGCCCCCCCCCCACGTTTTAAGACCCCCACTTTTCTTAACGCTCCGTGTTGCCTGCCTTTTCGCTATCTCCGTCACTATTTGCACATCAGTATGTTTATCATCAGCACTAAGCCTCATCATGTGTACCGAATTTATGTTGATATTTACCCCCTCTCCGGTACAAAAATCGCTCCATACGGTAGCGTAGTATAAAAGCTGCTTCTAATTCATTTTTCACACATTCTCCGTGAAGAATAATGGCTACTTCTACGGAATTTCATTTGAAAGAAAAGAATTGTCTATGGTGATCACAGACTATAGACTCTGGTGAATTTGGGTAGTGTTGATGAAAAATCTTTGAGTTAGAATCTTTGATTAAAAGAAATCTAGTGAGAGCATTATGCGGAAATACGCAATACAAACTCAGACATAGCAAATATTAAAAATGTATAACATATATATTTATATATTTAATGCATATTTACATTATTCGCCACTTCAAACACGCAAATATTATGAAATTCAAAATATCTATAAAATTCAGATACTAAAATGACGGAATGAAAAGTTATTTATTAGAATTTTACTTACGAAACTGCTTTTGGTTGTAATTGTTTTCCATTAATTGTATCTGCTTATACACATTGTGGTAAAAACCAACATCAAAAGGGGTCGATGAGCCTCATCATACAGAAAAGCAGTTCACTTTAATATCGAAGCTTAAGAGGGTCTTTCTAATGCCACTGGCTAATATTCTGCAGCAAGTTCAGAACTGCAAAAATTTGTTTTGTCTGAATAAATAAAAAGTCTTTGCAATACCAATAGTAAAAAGTATTGATATTACAATCGAATCGACTGGTTTTCTTTACTGTAGAAGTGATACTTTTTCAACGCAAATATGCCAATGAATAAGTCGCAGTTTCAGAACAACGATGAATAAATTATGATAAAGCAGGTGAAACTCATTTTGAGATAGGGGGAGGGGCTAATACAACAGAGCAACAGCTTCACCAACGAACGCCAGTATGAAATATGAAAACGATCTCGAAGAATGGGAAAAAACTGAACGGAATACTATAAATAAAGCGTATTTAAAAAGAGACAATCATTAACATATAAAAAAGCAAAAGCATTAAGACTTTTTAAAAAAAACTTTGCTATTTAAAAATATTTGTTGTATCTGGCGTCTATTGATTTGAATAAAAGCAGGTGACAAAAACTTAAAAAAGTTAACCGAAATGTCGACTTCGATATATCCCAATGCTGTATACTGCTTGATCGTCGGCGGAGGGAGGATCAAAGTTTAAGACCCCTGTGTTGTATCCTTTCATTGACACACCTATCTTTATACCGGGGGTGACGCACAAGAATGTGCCATTGATCGTTCAGCAACATCGCTCGGTTCGATCATGGCGGGCGTTACATCTTGATCCTCCGGAATGATATAAATGCTTGAATCTATCTGCGCAATTATATTATGTTGATGATTTTTGAAACATTTCTGGACGATACCACCCCAGCAAATCACCTGATAAAAATGGCACCAAATGGTTGGGACACCACTTTGTTGTGTTTCTGTCTCGTCGATGCGCACGGATCATGAACCGGCCAACCGGTCCGTTCCGTATCCCAACTATAAAACGTCCCTCGTAAAAACCGCCTCTTGAAAACAATAAGGGACAGCCCGAACTCAGTCCAAACTAATGTGTCCGGTGCATTTTGATCACATTTGACAGTAACATCCTTTATGTTCCGACAATTAACTGGGTAGTAGACGTACCTCTGACGTTTGTCTACCGGTTCAAATATCGTTGCGTTCGTTTTCGACTTGCAAATTAGCCAATCATTAATATTTGATTTTATTAACATCTCCTTGCCAAGGAATTGCCAGTAAGAATAGTCAATGGCTCCGTAATCGTGTAATTCTACAAACAAGAACAGGAAAACGAATGTTTAAATTTTCAGCAAGTCTGAAATTTGAAAAAAGTTTGCAAGTCTGTTCGTCATTACATAAGTTCTCTTGAATTTCATATGACATATTGTGGAATGATTTCAAACTCTGCATTTTTTTCTATCAAAAGCTTTTAAACCATCATACTAACAGCCATTTAGATAATGCCAATAACTTGAACAAGATGTGGTAGTAACTTTATCCAGTAAATAGAAAATATTGGCCCCCGGACTAACCGAAATCGTATTTATATTGCAAATATGGTAGGAGATGACACTTTAGTAAAACAGGCAATTGCTTGAGTTCCCAGCTAGCAAACCCCAATTGTAAAGCCTTGGCTACCTTGATCAAATGACTAGGCTGGAAAAAGTGAGGAAAAAGCATGAAGAGGTTGAAAGTTGTTACTCATTTTGAAATCTTTCACATGAATATGAATTTCGGGACCTTTTTATAAACTATGAACTCCAGTCAAAAGATAAGCATTCAAATCTTAAATTTTCTTATATCAAAATTTAAAACTTTCAATAAATCGAGTAAATTCTAGCAAGCATTAGTGCGTCCAAATATAAAATGGGTGCATGAAATAATTCCCACAAATATGAGGCTTTGACTAGTTTATACAAACCTTGAGGTGCTTTAGTAGAGACAGTGATAGAATGGTCCCTTGGTTTCGTTGTTTTGCTCCAGGATGGTACTGGTGTGATCGTGTTGTCTGAGCCACGGAACTTCTGGAAATTAGTGAAAGTGTAGCTGTAGGCCAAGGTCCAGCCACCATGCTCCGTATCCATGTCACAATAACCAACAAAGGGAAGACCGTCATCTTTAGGTGACAGCCAGTACCTCCCGGAATTGAGCAGGCCTTCTGATTGTCGGCGAAGATCTTTGCACGATCGTGCAGGGAAGTCTTTAGTGCGGCCTAATTGAGAGAAATTGGTATAAAAATAGAGAGACTCGTACCGTGGCAATGTCAAGATAAACTTGCAAATAATAATAAAGTAACTGTTGGCTGCCCAACGGACACCAAGTGAGCACTGGCGGTGTAAATAAATAAAGAGAACAAGGAACACAGCAATACACTGGAATAAGATAAAAAAGGTACAATATACAGCAAGTATAAACTGTTTTATTATATAAAATGAGCCTCAATTCTTTAGAGCAACAAATCGCTCTTAAATAATTTCTTTAGAGCAACAAAATGTTAAATGTTAAAACAGATCTGAAAAGTGGTATGTAAAGAAAGAAAAAGATATAAAAGAAATTATAACCAATAAAGAAGTAATGCATAAAAGGTTTTCCAAAAAATCTATTTATTTCCCTTTCGTTTAAATGGTTAATTTTTTATGAAATCAGCTGGAGATTCGGATATCCACACAGAATTTAAAGCTGGTTGAAAAATGTTTGCCTTCTAGTTATTTCACGTCTGGTAAAATTTCGACTTTGAATTAAGATTTAAAAAGAAACCGATTGAATTTTTATCTGGGCAAAATAGGCTTAACAGTATTGAGCTAGTGAAATCAAACGGCACAAGAAACATAACATTTAAACCTGTGGCAGTATAACGAGGATTTGTAGCAAGGATCTGATTTGAACTCATAAACACAAAGAAGAAACTCGCTTAATTCGAGACAAGTACGGCTTTTCAAGCTTTTGGTGGTGAATTTTGGCCGTTTAGAAGACTCTAATCGATTTTTCTACTCTGCTTAGTGGATTTTTCTCCCAAATGAATGTCATCAGTCCTTTGAGACCACCTTTATCTGAATCATCGAATCATCGTAATCTGAGTCGATCTCTTGGGGAAATCTTTCCGAGATTGAAAGCCTGATGGGACTGACAGATTTTAATCATTTTCAGATAAACTGGGCTTGAAGACAACTTACCAAGCTTTGTTTGTCTAATCATGTCCTGGAGCTGACCTTTTAGATTCTTGAGTTCATCAGCAAGATCAAGTAATTCGTCCAAAGTCGGATAGCTTTTACCGTTAAGGCCAACCTACCGGGGAAACGAAAATCACTTAAAGAGGCTAGAAGGGCTAAGATAACAATTAAGTCTTCATAAATCAATAAACATGAAAAGCGTAGGATATCTTTGAGTGATCTGGCTAGGGGGTTAGATGGTAGAAGTTAAATAACAGTTTAAATATGACTGCGGTTATTTCTAGTCGGTTACTCGACTGCGGACATCAAAAGTGTTGTGAAATATTGCATATGAATATAAGCACAGTTAAAAATTCACACTAACGCTAATACTAATATTTCATTAAAAAGTCATCGAATGCTAATATTTTGTTGATATTGAAAGCTGGCTGTTTGTAAAAGGGTTTATAAAAGGACAACGTTTTACAGAATCTTTGCCTAGTATATTGGACAAAAGAAGTTATGAAGCATTTGCACAACGAGCTATTGTAGAAAAAATCTCGTTAGCAGGGCTTTAGCAAAATAAACCATTGTCTCCTGGCTGGCCTAAGTTCTATTTGTCGGAAAATCGGGTATCGTCAGAAGCAAAAATTGAGATTTGTGCAAAGAGAAAGTGGTCGTCTTGATTGAACTCGAAAACACTATACTATACTTCACCAGGACAAGAAACAATGTGAAAATGCTTCCCTTTGTTGATTGTGTTACTTAAGTGGAATAAATTCATGGATGTAGGAGTGTTAGAAATAAATAACATTAAAGTGGGAGCTTATTAAAAAGCGGACACTTGTGGAAAACTTAAACTATGAGGATGTGGGCATATTCGAAGGGGAAGGGGGCCAATTAAAAACTAATGATGGGTTTTCCAAAAGTAACTGCTCCCTATAAGGGGGGTCACATCGTTGAAATCTTCATAAACAGAGTGAAGAGGTGATACATACCAATCTGCCAGGTGGGCCAGGAAGGCCCGGCTTACCAGGAGACCCCTTTAAAGAAAAAAACCGACGTTAATGGACACACATTTGAATCTGACAAGGTAGAAACTAAAACGTCAAGCCCTAGCTTATAATGCACAAAAAAGCAAAGAAACACGGCTTACCTCGCGACCTCTTCCTCCAGGTGGGCCAGGAGGTCCCTGAAGATAAAGAACGAAGCAGCTCATTCACCAGATAAATATGAGAAATATTGCATCAAAGACGAGCAACACATTGATTGAGCATGCAAAATTAGTACCGTTCTTTGTCAAAAATTCACACGCAAAGAAGTCATTTCTAACAAAACATTGTTTCATTTGTTCGAGTGGTAATCCAATGGCTGCAACAGCAGCTTCAGGTCAGGGCACCATAACGATCATACTGGCCAAAAATTGCTTTCTTTAGATTGCTGAAATTATGTATCAAGAGTCAACCTAAACTCTGCAATACCAAATCAATATAAATGTATCAACAAAGTACGTTTGTCACCTCTCTTCCAGGTAAGCCTTGCTCTCCACGAGCCCCCGGTACTCCAGGCGTACCAGGCTCCCCTTGAGGTCCTGAAGGCCCCCTTGGCCCAGGGGGGCCGTATGGCAAAGATATCATATCATCAGATATTGTAACCTAAAAGAGAATGCAAAGTTGAAAGATATTCAAAACTTCGTATGGTGGAAAACCTGTCAAGGCGAAAGGATATAGTTTTATGACTTTACCGAAACCTTAAAATGCTTTTAAGGGTCTTTTCAGCCAATATTTGCATTTCCAGCATATACGCCGAACCAAAGCCGAATATTCTGAAGAATATTCGTTCGTCAAGGGGCAACTTTTGGCCTAATAACTCAATTCATAATGGCTTGAAAATAGTTTTATCTCTCTGTTTCCAGAAGTAGTTTTTTTATCAAGTCAAAAAATACAATTCTTAGCTGTAGAGGAAATGCCTCTATCGTAATAAGCAAATTATCATGTCACTCTCCTCGTTTGTTAATAGGAGATAAAGTAAGCTTGATAGGAATGAAACAAAAGTTTCATATAGCCTTTATATTCCATTTCTGCAGAGGAAGTGCTTTAATTCAAGAGACCCGATGTTGGAATGAATATCCTTACAATTTGAAAAAACTTCTCACCTTCTTTTTTCGTTTTCTCATTCCATTTCTTAAATGAAGAACAGCCTGTTGTAAAATGTAAATAACAAATAAGAAATCTTAAATTTAATTTAACTAAATTTAATTTCATTCATCGTTAAATACTTTTAAAAGTACTTAAAAGTTCCTTTAAGCAAGTAGGGAAATTCTATGAAGCATTCAATTTCAACAAAACAATAATCTTTTGAGTCCAGAAATAATGTCCCCGACCCTTATTATCTTTTTGAAAAAGTCCACCCAGAATTTTCTTACCCCAGATCATGTATATCATATCCAACTATACACATAGAAACAAAACAGTATGGATAATAAAAAACTGCCATACCTTCGCAGAGCAAAAACAGCAGTTGTTGTAATGCTTGCTGTTGCGTCCTTGAATAGAAAAGCAAAAATTGGTTACTCAAGGATAAAAAAGACAAAGATCAAGGAGAGTTGACAGTGGTGCCTTGTGTGGTCTGAGAAAATCAAACACGTAGAAAGCGGCTGGCGTTCATGTACTGCAAGTACCATTTATTTAACCTTTTAACTCGTAAAAATACTAAGAATTAGGAAAAAGAAACCCGGTAGACAATTTGATGATGTAGAAAAACAATGTATTGACGAGTAATCATCTTCTTTATTCTTCTAGTTTTTGATGCTAGGGAAAAGCCCGGCAAAGGCCCATAGCGAAGCCCTAACTAGGAAAAAGAATGAGGGGTTCTGAAAAAAGGAGAAAAAATGAAGCTTGTTAAAATAGATGATAAATTTCTATGATAAAAGTAGTCTTATAGGTTATGCCCTGCATCATTGATCTGTTGCTGAGTTTACTCAAGATGGTGAGAACTATAGGAAATATTGGACGCTACGGGGGTGCATCCGGGACTTTTAGATACACGAGGAGGAAGTAGGAAAAGGAAAACTGAACTACGAACGAACTTTTGGTACTTTGTAAATCAAATATGATATGTTTTGTTTTGTTCAAAGAAAATTCGAAAAACGTAAGACGAAGACTTTGATTTATGGTAGATTCTTCACGCGGCCAGGAGAGGATTTACTTTAGAACTCTTTCGAGAGCAGAAAGTAACCAGAGCAGACAAGCCGGAGTCAGGGTTATTAAGGTTTTTGCTGAAGCATGCTATTAAGGTTGTGGCATCAAAGAAAATGAAGATGGCAAACTTCCATAACAGTTTGTAAACTTGTCTAGAGTCCAACAGACCTTCCCCACTCAAAAAAGTGCTCCGGCGTCCCAGTAGAGCCCTGTGCATTGGCCTGGTTTTGGCCGGGATTTGCGCCATGTAATAGAGAATTCAACCGTCAAAGTATAAGGGACATCAGACAGACAATCGAGAGACTGATTTCTGACTGGTTCATATTAAAACTGTAGTTTGGGTCTTAGCAACAAGGTTGTTTTAATGTCAGACGAAGGCTACCACTAGCCAGAATAAAATGAAACAATATCTGAGGTATGAAGAAGCCTCATCCCGACTAAAACTGAAACTGAAACTAAAGCCTCATCCCGACTGAATACCTATGGGATTGTCCAAATCAAAAACCAAAGATGGAAAAGACTTGTTTGGCTACACATCAAGCCCAAAATCGAAATAAATCAACAAAACCCTACAAATATTTCTGAAACCAAGAGACTAAATTTACACAAAACAATATTTTGCTTATACATAGCACCAAGCTTGTGGTAACCAGTTGCACGATAAATGCTCCGAAATGGAGATTTGGCTTTCTTATTTTTATACCCACGGTATTCCTTCTGACCCTCTTTGACTCGACGATATCCCGTAAACATAGCTCCCGTACCAATACTCAAAGATAAGGTCATTCATTTTGATTGCGATGTTAGCCTTGAATCTAGCCTTGAATCTAGAAGGAAACAGAAATTATCCTTGCCCCCCCCCTCCCTGTTCAACGTCACCAAAGTTTTTGAATTAATCTTTTTGAAGCAGACTTTTCTTTAGAACCGTGGTTATTTTCAAGCGCCATTGTAAATTTGCCTTTAGGCTGATGGGACATCATGTTATGTTGCAAAAAAGAAAAGACAGTCGTGGATGGATCTAAAAATATAGGAAACATTACGATGATAAAACTGTGCTATCTTTTGGTCAATTTCCTCTCGTTATGTCCTTTGTAATGAAACACAATAACAGATTTTAGGGGTATTAACTCACTTGAGGGTGTCGGACTTTTTCAAAACAACCCTTTTATTGGATCTAAAATGTTTTTGGAACTGGTTCCAAGCCGTTTAGGATCAACAGCAGTACTCAAGGAAAATAAAGACACGTTGTTTAGTGACGATTGCAATCCTTTTCCGAAATTCAATGCCATACACTTCGGTTTGCTATTGATCAATTAATTCCAGGCAAACTCCATCGTTTTAGGGCTACGGAAAAAACAAAATGAAGCGCGAACCGGCAGCCATGGCGCGAATGCAGTTCAGAATTTACGATTTTCTTTATTTTCAGCTATAAATTAAAAATGATATACTAGATGGAAAGGGGAAGTTGGTGCATCCATCGCAAGGGAAAATATGTAGCAAAATATGGGTAAGAAAAATATGGTAGTCGGCAATCCTAAGGAACTGTTTGGTGCCAGGAGGGATACGGTGTGCTAAGTCCTTATTTCTTCTAAAATGGGACAAATGATCTTTGAGCAGAAGGTCAGATTTAATATTGAAGTGATAAGCCCCGCTTCTGACAAAATATGCTACTCTGTCTTCTTCTAAAATTGGATTGGGCAGGGGCAAGTGAACTTTAATATTCACCATCATAAAATGGCGGAGTGAATGGGGAAATGTTGCAAGCCAGCGGTGACTATTTGTGCAAAACTTGAAGTGGAAACTAACCGAAACCCAGCCGGTACGAAGATCAATTATTGCCATAGAATCTCTCTCCCCCCCCCTCCCCCTCAACAGAGTCCTTAAACAGTCCACAGCTTCTACTTCTGCATTGATGGCGCCAACAACGTGAGGGCTTGGGGGCTTAACGCTCGCGGAATTTTGAAGAGGGGGGTTTGACCAACCCTGGTAGTTTTTAAGGCAACAAAGAAGTTAAAATATCTTGAGGAAAATAAAAAACTTCTTGAAACCTCTGGGAAAATGAAAAAAATGCATCTATGCCCCGAATATTTCACCCCTAGCTCCAATCAGATCGTTGTCCAGCGTTTGGCACACCGTAGAGATAAAACCGCTAACGGCATCAGTAACTAAAACAACGGATTCTCCTGCTCTTGAAATGCATTATCAATAGAAATCATATATTTCTAATTACATCCCAGATAGATTACCCCATGTAGTGGAGTTGGATGGGGGAGGGGGTAATAGGAAATGATGCTGAAAGTCAAAGTTAAGATGCAAACTGAAAACGCTTTATTTTCATATTAATTTTGATCTTCTAAATAAGATTGTTATTTATCATTTCCTGATCCACCGTCAGACTTTACCGCTGATTGCCAGCCCTACATTCAATTTGATTTAATTCTTGCTTAATCTAAGATCACGCATTTTCCCTCAACAAGGAGATATTCATCGTTGAAACTTGATGCCGTCAAACACATTAAACCCAATTATAGAAAACAATTTCACTGTAAATAAAGAACGGTTATTAATTTGATGCAATGCTTGTACGCATACGAAAATTCTTGCTAAACCGGGTCAAAGCCATCAACGGTGGGAGAAGATTATAGGGTGAGCGTGCATCTTCGCCCGCAAATCCTCTTCAAGTTCACTGGCATTCTGTGTTGATCGTATCGCTTAAAAATAGAGTTTTGTGCTAACAACATCGGCAAGCTAAGCTCCAATGCCACGTGACAACACAAGGCCTGTGGGCATAAAAGTTGTTGTTCGGCTTGCAGCAGGGGTAACTATGGGGTGTTCTTGACTTAAGACGAGGCAAAAAGGCGTCTGCAGTTTGAATACATTTTACACATTTTTCAGAGTTGATAAGTTTGCATCTCCAATAAACCTGAACGTAAAATAGACCCCAATAACTCTTTAAAACAGACAATAAAAGAAACGCTCAGTGTTTTCTGATAAAGCCCCGCTGCCGAGGCGAAATGTTAGTTGGACACTTAATTCATTATAAAATTGGATTTCAAGACATATCATATTCTCGTCGCCCTCTGTTTTGTTCCTGTACATCACCTTAGATCCGATCAATACCATAGTCGACGTTGATTGGTTAAGAAGGGTTAATACATAGAGTCAAAGAGCCAATAGAAACATGGCAATAGAAAAACAGCTTATTGATAAAATGAAATGGTGAAAATTTTAGATTTGAGTATTTTTCGGCATCTAGAAGCTTTAAAAGACAAGTTCAAAAACGTTATTATTTCTTCAAGGAAACACCAATTTGATAGCATGACATTCTTAGTTAAGAAAACCCGTTTATTTCTCTCGTAGGCTTCATGCACATTTGAAGGTATTTCGTTATGCATTTTCAAGTTATGAGATCTAAAATTTACCAATTCTAAAAATGTATTTTCGTGACGTCGTCAATTAGGAACTCTATTGCACGGAAAAGGGCCTGGTGCGCAAACAAACTTGGAAGGCGACGTTTTGCTCAAGATGGCGTCTGGGATGGATGGACGGGGAAAATGGATGACAGAGTGTGAACTACAAAGTGATTTGCGAGAAGAAGGAAAGGAAACGGTTGAAATACACAACTGTCGCCTAAGGAAAGATATATTAACTTGACCCAGACAAGAACTGCCACCTCGCGAAGAGTTCTATGTAAAATGAAAAAATCTGAGAACAAACTGTGATTGCGAGGGGTGAACAATAAATCAGAAAGTTTATAGCCCACTAAAATATAAATCTCTCAACATATCTTAAAAGCAAAGGAGCCCCGGTAATTCTTTGGCAATTATCGCATAAAGAAATCACTGACACTTAATTTTCGAGATTATAATACACTGGCAAAGTTCCTATAAACACCATAATCATTTGTATAAAAATCACGTTTAGAGGTAAAACATCGAAGAACAGTGGAAAATCTAAGTTGCTTGTCACAAGAATTTCCACCCAGGCATTGCCCTAGCTCCGCCTTATGTTCGAGAAAAACACCCAAACCGATGTGAAACATATTAGTGGGTGCAATATCATTCTTTAGTGGCAGTTGAAACTTATGTTTGAGATGGTATAGCTGGAGGAAGAGTAGGTAAGGCTGTTTAAAAGGCAATCGCAACTTTTATGAATAGATCCTAGCCCAAAAGCACGGGGAATGGATATGAATTCCGTCTAAAATGAGTGTTTAGGCTTCCAGACTCGTGCTAAATTTCTCTAAAACATGCGTCAAGAAAAACCATCGAAATCATAGTCTGGAAGAGTGGTCTGGAACTTTCTTCCAAATATCCTCTTACGATAATCGACTGTAAAATTATCAATACAACTTCCTTTACAAAGCATATACCAGATAAACACTTTAAAAGTAAAGTAGGCCCATTGACTGACCTGGGTTGATGATGTCATAAATCCAGCTAGCATATTCAGAAACTTTCACGTAGACACCTACAAAAGAACTCAAACGACTAAGTTTTTACATAAAAAACACCTTAATGTTTACAAGGAAGAAGGATTTGGTTAAGCCCGCAATTTGCAACATATAGACATATAGACCAACGTATGCGTCATAAAATGTTTTACTTTGCTAAAGTCAGGGGCGTCACCAAAGGGGGGGGCACAGTACCCCCCAAACTTTGTGGGTCGGCACATTAAGGATTTTTGCCGGGCAAATAAAGCAACTTTTGTATTCTTCCTGTAGCCTTTTGGCAACAAATGCAATGTATAAGGATTTCTGTAGTAGTTAAACTTTCAAAGTATGGCACTTAAGTATGAAATTTGAAACAGAAACGCATAAAAGCAGCAAATAAAATTATTCATATTTTGACCGCGCCCTTAAAGAGTGAGACACGCCCTTTTTGTCGGCAAAAATTATTTCTTTACCCCTCCAAAAATTTTTTTTGGCTTCGACCCTGGCTAAAGTGAGTAAAAATTTCAATTTAATCACGAAGCAATAATAAGATTATAATAAGTCAAATTTTTCAGTTAAAAAGTCAAATCTTAACAAGTCACAACAAGTCATAGCAAATCGTCATGACGTTAAAATACTGTAAGTGCTAAAACATTGGGAACTCAAATTTACAATTTCCTTTCAAAAATTACATTCAGTTTCCGTCATATCGATATAACACTATGAGAATTTTCAAAAGTTCGAATTAATCATTTGGCTTACATAATCCTAACGTTGTAACCTTTTTTTAACCATTTAAGTTTTACGCCGTTTTGCTGTTATTATAAAAAATAACAGATTTCTATGTGCGATTTTAAACATTGTTAAACAGGAACCTAAATTAAATTTATTTCAGTTAGTTTCAGTAAAATATAACATCGCATTATGAGAATTTCGTGAAATATATGATTTGATACTCTACATAATACAATACCCACAACAAGATTCTACGAAACTAGCTGTTTGATTGAATTTGTGGAGATTAGTCATCATGACATACATCCAATGAGAACAAGGTAATTTCAAAGAACGAAATAGACTTCTTCTTATTGTGTTACAGATAAGGGACTTCCCGGCCTGTCAAAAGTCCCTATCACGAAGTATGTTTGATAGCCTGTTAGAGATGAATGAAATATCTATTTAATATGGATAAATTATTTTATGATTCAAACGTTTGTATTTCGCTACCCGGCTCATCAAAGGTTTGATTACAAAATTCCTGTATTTACTTTTCAGCTAATGAACTCTTCTTTTCTGTTATCTCTTTTACGCAGTTTTGGAGACCTTACTGTAAACTTCCTGATTGTGAGATTGAATAAAAAACTAAAAAAAAATTAATCATCAGACCAAAAAACAAAACACCGGTGATAATTCAATTTATCCTGGCACACGCAACTCCGAGTGAGAGCAAAACGAATCGATAAGACATGAAAAGCTTGAAATTGTTTGCAGGAAAAGCGAATTTGGCGTTCCTACCATTAAAAATATATTCTACAAGTTTCATGGCGATGTTGAGCTCGGCATACTTATTACGCACTACATAAAAACTGGTAAACAGAATTAATGAATTATCGCGCCAAAACAGTGTCAGCATTTGTCTTACTTTTGTGACAGCGATTTGATTGTCAATTCAAGGTCTATGAACAGAAATATTTAATGAATATTTTGTAAATATGACAATTTTAACTTCAGCAAAAAGCAGGAAACAACTGAGTAAATTTAGAAATGGCAGTGTTCGAAAGGAGGAAATTAAAAACTCCGCTATTAGTAAAATGTAAACCAGGCGATCAAAGATAAAACAGTGAGGTCGGAAACACAAACAATGAGATCCTTCTAACTGCGCAGAAAAGAACAGCCACTTCACAATTGCAGATGTCGCAATTCTCAAAATGAATTCGATTTGGCCATAATATCACAGGCCTTCCAGCAACGACAGATTGTGCGAAAATATTTGACGAAAATTGTTTCCTATTTATATAAGATCTGTCCTTCTATCAAGCATTTTTAAATTTGCTTGCATAAAAAACGTGTTTTGCGTTGATAAAGGAAGTTATTTCGTTCATAACGTTTAGTTGTATCAACGTTTATAGCGTTTGGTTATCAGAGGAGTAATTGGGCGTCAATCAAAGGCGCCCTTTCTACACCATAACCATTATCGTTTCACACCTGTCTATTGCTTAGAAACTATTGGCTTATTTTGTGTATTTGTTAAGTTTGAAACAAATACGAACTATACTAAATTTAAAAAATAAGAAAATTCCAAAGACGACCGAATTCAAAATCCCACATTGTTAAAATATTGCTTTTTCAAAACTTTCAAAATCTTCGAAATCCTTGTTTCATACGGAAATTATCCACAGCATTGCAAGTTTACTCATAAATCTAAAAATAACTGTTTGAGGTCCAAATGTCCGAATTTTGGAGATAATTTTAGGTATATGTCTACATCACATCAGAAGATTTTTGAAGTAACACTTTTTGATCTATTTTTCGCGTTTGTAAGCATAATTTATAATCAGCTTTGACTGTTCTAGCTATAGGTGAAATAAGAAACTTTCTGTTTAGTGCATCATTCCTGGAAACACACGTTCCAAGAACATGTAACTTGACCAAAGATTGTTTGTCTCGTATCTTGATTATATTCCAGATTTGCAAGTTTATAACTTGTTCGGGCTTGAGCTGTTGTCATATCAATGTTGGATAAACTATTTTTTTATCTGAGGCAATTTCATAATTTACCTTTTGCTATAATAAAGAACTTTTAGAGAAACCAAAACCGCATGTGTATTACATACCTGGATACTGAGCCAATGCGCATCCTCTTCCCCAGGACACTACTCCAACAAGTACCCAGGAATCTTTGTTTCCGCACCCGGTCCTTACCATGAGAGGCCCGCCACTATCACTGTAACACGCATCCCGGTTTCGACCAGCCGCGCATATCATATCAGACAAGACCGAGTTGTTGAATGACTTTGGGTGGTTGCAACGAGATCTGGGAATAACCTGAAATGATGAGCCATAACAAAGTGATAACAAATGGTCAACTACCAACATTTAGTAAATTCTAAGAGCACTGATAGTTCAGTGATATTTGGGTTACCTGTCGATGAATTTTCCTTTGATAAAAGCATTGATATTCAAAAGCAAAACTAACTGGCCCTGAGGTTCATAAGATTTTAAACAACTTTGTAGTCAAAGCAGTTTAGGATAGGCTGTCCGCCGGATTCTGTGAATCTTGCAATGAGTAATAATACGAAAGATATTCAGGAACAAAGCAATACGACAACGAGAATCCAATGTAACGAGATAAAATTTTCAAAATAAATTAAATTTAAAGAATACTGCAGTTTTGCTATGGCTTTAAGTCCCTGGGTACACAAAAAATAACGGGAAAGACAGACACGTATTTTCAGTTACCTTGACATTCGCGTATCTTAAAACACGTGACAGGTCTTTTGATGATGTCGATGTTGACCCCCAGCCTGCTACCGCCGCTTCTGTCCCTGGTCGGCTCCATTCATCGTCCGCCGGCGACATGGCGGGCCGAATAGTCTGGTGCTTCGACGGTCGCGATAAGTACAAAAGGGCAAGATCAGCACCTGGAGAAAAGTAGGCGAGACATTTGAAATGAAAATAAAACATAGCGAAAATTTGTGTTAGGCGTTCGCATTTGCAGGGAAAGAAGCAATTAAATTATCTTTTCATTAAGCTCTCTTAACACTTGAGGGAACATGATTAATTTTGACTGGAAAAATTGAAAGTTTATTGCAAAAATCTCGAGCTCTAGTTTTAATATGTGTTGGGAAATGTCTTTGAAATTGAGAAGATAAAATCTGACAAGTAAATCAGCAGAACATAATGACAAATAAATTGACTAATAATTGAAGAAATAAAGACAATTAAGGAACGCTTAATAAGCTCTCGGAGCCAGACAGAGCACCTTCACGTGACTAAGAAGAAAGAACAAGACATGAGAAGACAGAGAATGTTGAAAATAGAGAAAATTGTCGAAAAACGTCTTCAGCAAAGGTATTTGTGTATGAAACAATACTAAGTAAGAGATGGAATGGCACTCTGAAAACCATGAATGCACAAGAGAGTAGATGACATTATATCAGGGCTTGACAACACAATAATAACTTCTTTATTAAACTGGGCAGTTGCAATTAACTTTGGTCGTTCCTATCTCATATTTGAAACGGTTTAATCTCGTAGAGACAGCCCATAGCTTGAGATCTGTATGAGCGATTGTATGTTTCTGAAATTCCTACAAGTAAATTAAGTTTTGAGAAATAGAAAAATCGACCTCAGACCAGACAATAATAAATCACATTTTCTCTCAAATCGCTGGGTGAATTGCACATCAGACAACTCGAGCCTGGAAATTCAGACGAATGGATCCTAACAGTGTGTGGACATATTCAAGCTCTGACGTTGCCATTATCGTCCATACTTGAATATAAATACGTGACTTTTCAAAAGCAGTTAAAACGTCTGTAACTGCAGGGCTGCCAGAGCCGAGAGGGGAGGACACGGGACATAGGCACACCTTGATTAGAAAAAGTTTAAAATATGCCCTTTTTAAAAAATATATTGCGTGTAATATTTTCGCAGCCAGATATTATTCCTTTAAATGCTAAGTAAAACAACATAAATTTAGGCATCGCTGGGCAAAACACAAGCTCCTGTTATAGAACGTATGAACTTGCTTTGAAGCCAATAGAGACTGAAAGTTAACTTTAAAAGAGGTAGAGGCAAAGATTCGCTTTGAAAAAAACGGAGACTGGAAATTTGCTTTTAAGTAAATAGAGACTGAAAATTTGCTTTGAAATACATAGACACGGAAAATTTGTTTAGGAATAGACAGAGGTTAAAATCCTGAAAAATTCACTTCGAAGCAGATGGAGACTGGAAATTCAATTTGAAGTAGAGGGAGATTGGAAATTCGCTTTAAAAGAGATAAAGACTGAAAATTTGCTTTGAAATAGATAGAGCCTGAAATTTCGGCAATTCCTTTCAGTTCTGTTGATTATATTTTCCCTTTATCTTGTAAGTTTTAATTATTTTTGAATGTTTGATTGCATTAGTATGGATTTATATTTACCTTGATGTGTTGTAATTAATCTGAGTAATTGTCGAGTATAATTCACCTGTCACCAGACTGGGGGGAGGATGTGTGCCTGTCGCTTAACAGAAGGCATCTCAACTTAAAATAAGAATTAAAAAGAAAAGCGTACACATATTATAAAGAAAATATGAATCATCCTTTGACGAAAGTTTACACCAGCAAGAACCTTCAGCGTCCATATTAGGCGTTATATAATTAAGTATGCCTAAGGGTGCGTGCCTCCTGAATGGAGCACGTAGCCATGTCTGCCAAACATAGTTCTTGCTTTGTGGACTTTGTCTTACTTTTACCCAAAATTTTTAAATTGCCAGAAAGCTTTACCGTTTTGCAATAACCAATGTTTCGGAAAAATAGATGTTTTGCCATTCATATTCAATTTGGCCCCTTCCCCTGTTAAAACTCGCGTCCGGCGACCTTGAACTGTAATATCGAAGAGACAAACAAGTGTTCATTTTAGAATATTACGCTGGGTTTTCAAGCTTCTATTGTAATTACGCCGTTTAAATAATCGTTGCTTCGATTTGTTTTAAACTTTCATGAATTTGATACTAAAAAAACCTAATGCACATGTCTTTCCGCGTCAGCTATAGTTTGTCTTACTGTTGTTGTTGCAATTGTTTGCTGTTATGGCTGGCGAGGCTGCTTGTGGAAGAGGTTTGAAGACTGAGTTGATTGTCTAAAACAATAGCTGATTGTCTAAAACAAAGAAATAACAGAGGGGCTGGCAAAGCATATGCCCTCATCCATATCTTGTACGTTATAAAGGCCTCGATATTGACGATTAGTGATGTGAACTGATCATGGCTTATGATGTCTTATGGTGATCATAATCATAATGATAAAATGTCAAAATCGAGAGATTGAGATAAACCCGAGATAATCAAGCCTGATAATGTAGGATTACTGTCATGAATCTCTTGAGCTTCCAAGATTTCTTCTAGAGCCCCAGATTCACTAAAAAGACAAACACTGAGCGTGTTTTTAGGGGAAAAAATTTGGCTAGCAACTGAAATCTCAGTTTTTAGGCGGGAATCTGAGGTGAATCGAGCAGTTATAAAATAGCTGTTAGATAGACTATCCCCCTTGAAAAAAAGGATTATTCTATAAGATATCCAAGCTCCAAGCACGCATACAGGCATAAAAGAGAAAGGAACTGGTGCAGAGCATAAGTCATACTTCCAACTTTGGAATTGTGGTGGCTTGTGCAGAATTAGATAGTAGCAAGTCTCTAGATATATTTGAAGAACGAGGCTTCAGGTTTTCAGAAAACGAGGCTTGGCTTGAGCAGTAGAAATAAGCATCGAGTAAAGGCCTTGCCAAACGAATAAAAAATCCGTAAAACATTACAAAACATTTTTGACCACTTTGTTGTAAAATGTTTTATGACCTGGCCAAATGGATAAACAACCTGTTAAAACATCTTTGATGGTCAAGCACTGTCGCACAGCTTCCTACAGTTACTGCGTTTTTTGCCGAATTTTAACCTCACTGCGCTTGCGCTTGCGTGAGTAAAACAAATGCTTAAAGGGGTGGCCAAACAAACGTTTCATTGTTGATCAAACATGAGGACAAAAGAGATATTTTACGAAATGTTTGATGGAAACTAAATTTTGCAAAACGTAAAACATCGTAAAACATCGTAAAAATGGTGCCCAAACTAAAATAAAACATGTTTTATGCAACAATGTTGGATGATGTTTTATTCGTTTGGCCAGGGCCTAACAAACATTCCAGTTGATTTAATTTTCTTTCAACTACTGATCAAAGTCCTATGCTTGGTCGATATGCCTGGTTTAATTGCCTTTATTAAACAATGAAGTTATCTTACCTTTAAACCCCGTACCAGCATACTTCGGGTGAATGAAAATAGCTTTCGCCTTTATTTTCTCGCTATGCTTTCTTTTATTTATGTGTGAGAATATGTTTCCGATGTAGACCCAGACCTTTGAGGTCTGTTCTCCGCTTGGCAGGCAGTGAGCAGCTGTGAGGACCCATCTGTTATGAAAAAAACGTAGTACATTTAAGTTTGTACATTTCTATAACATTATGCAACAAAATAAGCAAGATTGAATTAAAATACAAAGATATGTTAAGACAAAGAAGCTGCTAAAAATGAACGCAAATCAAAGTGTTGTTGAATTGGATCAAACCTTACAAAGCCAGGAGCCCTGACGGTGTTCTACTCAATCACATTTTCTAAGCGACAATTTATTTCAATGTTTCGGTACAAGCTCTGGAAATATTTTGCTAGCTTAAACTGAAATTATATCGAAATTATATTAAAACATACTAAGGCTTTTCATCTGACACTCTTCGTATAAAACGTGAGAACATAGATCGAAAACTCTACTCTAGGAAACATATATACCAGCTGTTGATCGAAATAGGCCAATCAGAGACGCGATCACATAACTGTTGAGGTTACCCAATCAGTGCTGCTTGCCTACTGAAAACATTTCAGCCATTTTTATATTTTGTAGCACAAAAAGATTGCTTTAAAATAATATCTTTAAAATATTATTCAACTGTTTTTAAGCTAGAGACTGTCAACGCTTTATCATGTTGCTAACCATACACATTTGCTCGTTAGTAATGAGAAACACAAGAAAGCCACTAGTGTAGAGGGACAAAACACAAAGAAACGGCACAAGATAACAAGCCATGATTTCTGTCCCAAAGTATGGTGTATCGTAGGGGCAAAACTGCTAAAAACTGACTTCTTGAATCCGCTCTTTGTTTCAAGCTTTGCCCAAAGAAATCAGGAAATAAATTCATAGATAACACAAGTGGATCTGTTGTTCGGTTGAATGCCAAGACACCGTGCATGGGCCTAAGCTGTTTCGACATTCGCTTGCAAATTAGTTGCATTTGACCTCGGTAAGGCAAAATCCCATTGGTGGTCAGGAGAAACGTTTGAAAAGTAGCATGACCCTCTAAAGCTAAATTTAACTCGTTTAAAAAGTTAATTGTATAAAAAATGATAAATAAATGGCTAGATATGAATCTCAAAAGATAAAAATGTAATCTTATTTCTCCAAATACCACATGCAATGACCGCTCCGCATTGTGCCTCGCTTGCGAACTATATCTCAATCCAACATGGCGACCACCGAATGAATCGGTCCGCTAATTAATACCTCTTTATATGAAGATTCAGAGTTGGGGTTTGCGTCAAGTTGTAGGGGTAATGAGGTTGTAGATAGTATTTATAACTAAATGGACGCTGGTACCAAAGTAATTGCAGAGATATTTTCAACATGAATTACTTCTTACTTGAAATTAGACAACTTGGGGGCTTGTTTTTACAAAATTGATGATGTCGCTATCTCCGTTCTTTGGAAACATTGGGAAGAGGCGGCGCCAGGCATTAAAAAATTAAGAGTACTGGATATTTAACACCTGGCCTATTTCGTAATGAAGCACTCGACAAATGGGACTCTTTCAGAAGGCAATCGATTATATTGAATGAAATTAAATCACTTTTCATTCTATCTTGAGCAAATTAAGCTAGATAGCTGTAAAACCATAAGCCTATTTGATAACACAATTGATGAAGTCACGGGAAAAGAAAATTGCTGAACATTTGACTCCGAAGAATATTGCTGAATCACGTGCTGTCACTTAACAGGTCAAAGAACAAGAAACATACCGAGATCTCAAATATAAGGGAAACGGAAAGATAAACTCTTGAAAACACGAATGGCGTTTAATAGAAGTGATTGGAATCTTTGAGCGCAGTGACTTTAAGGCCAGGCCTAACTGACCATTTGATTTTACGAGACATGAAATACTTCTGTAATTTCAATATAGCCTAACTGAAAGTGACAAATGATTATTGTCATTTGAATCAAGCATCGATTAGACAATAGCCTACTAAGATGTTACGGGAAGGGTACATGACAGCCACTGTATTTTTAGGCCACTAGATTCTAGAAAAACATTTCGAACAAAACCCGCAAGCGCTAGAAAGATTCATCAGAAAAACGATGAAAATGAGGCAGGGCCTGGATGCATCTTTTAATGGCCTTCCTCAAAGTGGTTGCTCAGAGAAACTTTGTGGAGGATTGGAGAGATGACGTCACACCAGTTGCATAAAACAAAGATTAATGCATATTGCGTGAGTGCAAACATCGTGATTGTGTATTGTGTATTGTTCGTACTTACTTGGATTTCACGTTATTCAAGACAAATTAAGGATAAAAGCAGGGCCATTGCCACAGTAGAGGATGTGTTATGAGGATTTAAATGAAAGGTCATTTTGCAATAAGGATATTCGATCAAACCATTGCCTGTCGCTAATTCTGGCCACGCCCAAATCGAAATCCTTGGGAACTGAACATTCGACCCAGCCATTCAAGAAAATACTTGAACTTTTGAATTGAAGAAACTATGTATCGCAAAGAATCTTCCACCTCGTACACAGGGATGAGGCCAAAGAATATTTCTAGAGGGGTACAGAACTGTTATTTTGCCAACAAAAAGGGCGTGTCTCACTCTTTAAGGGTGTGGTCATAAGATTTCAGATAAAGCTACACTTTGTGGTAGCTTTATTAGGAAGCAATTGGTTTGTAATCAAGATGTCGAGCAAGTATCTTTGGGAGACAAATGCAATTCCATTCTTTTAGGACCCCGCTATTGAATAAAATTTCAATTCTCGTTTAAAAATTGAAATCAAATAAGTTCAGAAACAAAGCAGTCGCTTGTTTGAGCCATAGGCTAGTCATAGAAAATTAATTTCCAGCAAAACAATTTCCACGCCAAACAACGAACCAATTTGCACAAGGCCTTTTTAAGCCGGCTTAATGGGAAACCAAGCTCTTCGTTAGGAAATTAGTTTTTTAAGAGAAGAAACCCTCAAAGGGGTCGAAATGAAGAAGCCAACCAACGTGTCTTTATCCACTAAATATTTTCTGGCCCAAATTGACAAGAGGGCCTTTTCAGACGAAACTACAGAAAGAAGCCTTTCGTACCGATAAAACACCAGTGAGGCTACAGGACAAAATATTAAATTATAGTATTGTTTAACCAGGAAAACCACACAAGTATTTAATTCTTGGTACCTTACAAAATGGCCCAGTAGCGAAAATTTTGGGGATAGGGGGTCGGGCCCCTCCCCACTTGAATAAGTTATTTGCAATTTGTGATAAACACCAGAGCCTCCGAGACGGGGGGAGGGCAGGGAGCCATGGACCCCCACTTTCTTGCAAGACAATATTTTTGCAAAACCTTTTTGAAATTGATCTTAAATTTGCATTTGGCTTTCCTTCTTTCCAACTTGCATCGGAGCCCCTGAAAAGAAAACAACTTTTTTTCCATACGAGTAGCAGGCTAAACAGCCTGACCAAGATCTCGGTCAGCAGGGAAGAAAATTTTTCATGTGCAAATAAACTCGCCAGCCAGCCCGGCTGGCCGCGACGCAATTGTATAGGCAAATTCAGGACGAGGACGATGCGATTTTCAAAGATCTACTCGACGGTTTAAATCCATGACTTCAGCAAAAATTGAATGCCAGTTGTATAGAAGCTTGCGTTAATAAAAAACTTATTTCAGCATCTTTAAACTTGAAAATCTTTCATAGCTTTCAGATTTTGTCTCAACCTGGCTTGACAGAACTTTCATATGAAGGTGGGTTAAAAACAGGTGGGTTTGAAAAACGGCCCGTCCAACCGGGCTAGCTCATCCCGTATGAATGGAGTCTATCCTAGGGGGCTGTAGCTTCCAAGAATTGTCAGTTTATCGAGTAAAGCCCGCCAGAACACTTACAAAATTTTTTGAAGCACAGTATGTTAGCACCTCCCCTTCTTTGTTGCTCGTAGATAAAAAATATACCTAGACTTGTTTCAACCAGTTTTCGTCGTTCGGCGCCGATGCTCGAAAACTCGATATGGTACAATCAAACACATTTATATAACATCCTTTTCAACAACACTGAAAACACCACTCTGGGCTGAAACATTCCATTTGCCAGTTCCCCTCGCAGCTTTTGCCAGCCAGACACGTTGGAATGCCCCTGCAGATCCAGACACCTCCTGGAAATGACATCACCTGTAGGGGGTGGCGCGTGCAATCCGATGCGTTTTGGCATCGATCATAAACTTCTTCTTTTTACATATAGCTCATGATCTCTTATTTCATTTATATATCTTCTCCTCTGCTACAAATAAATCTTCTTGAAATACTTTTGACCAGGGTTAAGACGTAAATAAGTACATTAACTGCTAAAACTTCGCAGTTATGATAGTATATTTTTATTAAAAAAATAAAAAATATAGCATGCATGTTCAGTTTTTAATAAAACTTGACCATTTTTCAATAGAAACCCTGAAACATAGTTATTGTTACTTGATGTCGGTGCCACAGTCCAATTCGAGGAAAATCTTCTTGTTTATAAATATATATAATTCAATTATCTTAACAAATCGAGTTTATCAAAATTTCCTGAAACTTTGGACCAACATGAAAGTTTGCCCTAGCAAATTCAAGATATTCAAGAATTGTGTGGTTTATGCTATTGGTGTTTAAAAAAATTGAAATGCAACGAAACTTGAACGCACATAATTTCATATGAAAAATGTCTTAATTATTTCTTTTAGTATTGCTAGGAAATTTGCCTGAGTATCGTTATTATTCAACTCGCATTTGAATTTCTTTATAGAATTTAAAATATAAAAAATATTTTGAATAAAATGAAAATCTGATTTTAGAAAACCGTTTTATTTTTCAGAAACAACAGATGAGGTAAAAGGTAAAATTTTCACGGGTAAAATGTTACAAGAAAAATTCTTTTGGGAAATATATGAATAACGACAGTCTCATGAAAAATAGATTTAAAAAGTTGCCTCTTTACTTTTTGAAGTAAAATGTCGTAAATTTTAATGACATCGAAAACTGGCTTTTAAAATCAGAACTTTTAAAAATAGTTAAGAGGCGACTTGCATAGAAATATATCTCAATATTTGTCGAAGCGATCATTTGAGCAATCAGCCATTTGACAAAAAACAACATTTCCTTTACGGTAGTTCGTATTTCCGCATTAGATTTTAATCGCAATTCCATGTGAAAAGCCATTTCAAAAATTATACATTATTTGTTCAAAGCTGTTTCTTTAGATTTTGCAAATTGTCGGAAGGGAGGGCCAATGCGGACCTTTTAAAATTGTTGACAGCAATGACAAGACGGGACAATAAACATTTTCACGGATGTGTGGCATTTTTCAATTACAACCAGCCCACTCAAAGGAAGTTTTCAAAACAAATTTGAATTGTTGACGATTCAGAATTGATTTTCCTCTCGTGTTGGAAAAGTACTCATTCTAAAGCTGTTACTAGAATTTCTTGATACTAAGTGCAAAAATACAAGATGTTTGTTTATATGAAAGATCAACATTCTATATGGTCCGTTATTAAAATGATGCATCGCTTTTAAATCATTGACGAAAACATATTTCTCACCTGGAGTGTATCAGAGATCCGCCACAAAAATTTGTCACTGATCCATATTCATCAGAGCCATTTCTTCGTTTCTTAGAGATGGCGTGAAAGTAAACAATCCAGGGAAACTTATTTTCCTCTGCTGCAATCCCTCCAACAACTCTTTGACTTAACTCGGCAACGGTGCGTTTAAATCTGTTTTTGGAAACCCTGTCCTTAATTGAATGTATTTCGTTTGGTAAGCCATCGAAAAACTTCGAATAGTCTTCTCCAACACTGTAGTCGAAAGCCAATAAGAAAGCGAGAAGATAAGCCGTTGGTACATTCATGGTAACATGTATTCACTCTTCCTTCAAAATGATTGCATTTAAAACTGTGCTTGGCGCGTGGTTTTATAAACTTCTCGGTTTAACACACACCAAAGAGGGTACGCAACCCCCTGACAGCGCGGCATACGGAAAATCAATTAAAAGACAAAGGACTTTTCGACACGTAAGACGGCCATTTCAACAGATTTTGATTAAATTATGAGGGGAATTCGAGTTCATAATTGCTTGAATTGGTTGTGGGAAATGTGGCGTTTGATTTAAATCGAGTTAACGAAATGCGTTCAATACTTGACCGGGGCAATCAATATGTTAGTCCTTTGGTGGCTTTTCCTCCGCAAGAGGTCCTTCTCCAAAAATGTACACACATCGTAAATCAGGAACCATTTTTTACAAGGCCTAACATATCCTGATGTTATTCCAAGTTCTCACTTGACTCACAAGTTGGTGCATGAAATGTGTTCGCTAAATGCGAAGTTTCCACTTGACCCCTGGGACGTTAGAGTGCCTCCAAGGACAACACCACCGTCAATGGATGGTGCATCTTGAAAAGAGCAGTCATAAAAGGTGATTTGGGGGCAAAAGGCGCTTCTCATTGTCCCAGTGTGAGACTAATCCTCTCCTAGGGACCAACATTGTCAATGATGTATTGTATATTCGTTCTAATAATGGCTTTTCTTTAATATCACACCTCGGCCTTCGCAACACCGGTCTTTTAGATAATAAATTAAAAGGCACTGTGTTCGAAAACCTTCTTGGTTCTCTCAAGCCCCTTGGCAACTAGTTAGGAGTATATATACACAGATAAATAAACATTGTATCATTTATTCAAAACAATAATAATCTAAAACATTTTGATAAAACAGATTACATTAAGATAAATTTGCACTAAGTCACTCCAGACATTTAAAATAAAATTATATCAGAGATGAGTTCAAATAGCCAGTTTTTGGTGACTATCAAAATGCCTAGTGACGTAGATAGGAAAAATTTGGCACAAGACCACAAAAGGCTTTGAATGTTGGTGCCATCACTGCGGCGCCATATGGCTTTGGAGCCTTTTCAGTTATTGGCATAGTTATCTTATGAGAAAAATAGAGCCGAGGAAAGCTCCTTGTATCACTCCATTGGCTGACAAAATAAAACAGCAAATATCTTTGATTTAAACAAGGCACCCTTAGACGAGAACATCTATGATTTTCGAAAGGAAAAGATATGAAAAATCAGGAGACTTTTTTAGGGGACCTGTGTTATTGCTAGAAACAAAGAAAAATCCAACTAAGTTTGAAGCCAATATCGATTTTATTGCCACAAAAAATTTGTGAACAAGAAAAAGCAATTTTTTTCCAAAATGTCCCCATAATCACATAATCATTTCGAGCTCATTCATTATCCGAATTGTTTCCGCGATTATTGTGTATCTCGACACTTTCGAAAGTTGCTTGGCAACAAAATAAATCTTTAATAAAATATTAGCAATCTTAATGAATGTTTTCTTCCCCTGCAACCGATTGTTCCGTTGTTTGTTCCGACATGTTCTGTTACTTTCAGTGTTTCTTCCCAGATGGTTGCTGGCAGGGTTTGATGTTTACAATTCCAATGTCCCTCTGTTTACATACGTAGGTTAGTAACATTTCATATATTCTAATTCTATTACTACAGAAGCAATCTCAATAAGTAAATTTTAATTTTAAAATATTTCCAAGGTATTGATTTGCTCTTTTGACAAAATATTAAGGTAACATTTTTAAATATTCAATTAATGATGACTTAGAGATCTCGAAGTAGCCCAAGTTGGTACTTAATTTTCACACAAAGATCACGGCATACCATCTGATTTTTAACTGATACACCTACAAACCGTGTAAACATTGAAATCCATAATGTAATGCAACAAAACTGTTCTTAACAGAAGTAATTATAACTAAAATTGCCAAGGCGTTGGAAAATACTGACGGCAACAATCTCGATATACCCCCCCCCCCCTTTCTACTGATATTGCTGATGATTTTTGTCATCGCTCGTCTTCATAGATAAACAGGGTTGTCAAAAGCACTTTGAAGTTAGAGTTGAGCAAAGGTACGAAAAAGCACTATGTGATCTGTTAATGAAAAGGGCACTCTTTCAAAAGCTTTACAAAAACCTCTTAGAAAGGAAACATTTTTTCCACGCGAGGGGGGGGGATAGAGGACATGTTACGAGAAGGGTCAACTTTGTAATTCAGTTCAATCTGAAGACAAAATATTGTTGGGGGAGAGGTGGAGGTGCTAGCATTTTGTGAAATTTTCTGCGATGAAATATTTTGTGATTTTGAAACTGCTTCATTGTAACTAAATGCTAGTCATGGGCATTCCTTATTGCTAGCAACTGTGTATCTAATCTTTAAAAAACATATTTATGTTGCTATGAATAACCTAAACAATTTCATTATACTGCTCAAAACTTAATTAGAATTTAATTAGAATATCTTTTTAGCATATCCATTTTAGTAATGATCGTACATTTTTCATTTTCAATGGTTTCGTTTGTTTATTGCATACGCGCATTTAATTTTTTGACTTTGAACCAGAAAACTGAAGAGCTATTGTTATACCTTCTGCAAATAACTATATCAAGGTAACAATGAGTTGGCACATATCTGAATGTACTTTGTCATACTTTACGTAAACAGGATGTCGTATTCATCAATTGTACATTTAGAACTAAGACTTCAAATATAAGGAAGACCAGGCACCCCCTGTTATCATGAATCTGCTTTTGAATTGAAAATCGCTCTCTTCTGAAACCTTGTTTTCCATCATATAAATTTCAAAGATGTCTTTTATCATATAAATTCCAAAATACTGTAGAATTAACGTATGACAGAAGACAGATAAGATGAGACAAGAAATATCTTCGATTGTAGGATGATGTGTGTTGTAAGCAGGTGTCCGTTGTAGAGAGGTACCCGCTGCAAAGTGGTGTCCATTGTAGAGAGGTGTCCGTTGTAGAGAGGTGACCGGTGTAAGAAGGTGTCCGTTGAAAATAGGTGTCCATTATAGGGAGGTGTCCGTTGTAAGGAGATGTCTGTTGTGGAGAGGTGACCGGTGTAAGAAGGCGTCAGTTAAAACAGATGTCCGCTGTAGGGAGGTGTCCGGTGTAGGAAGGTGCCCGGTGTGAGGAGGTCTCCGTTGTAAAGAGTTGTCCGTTGTTGGAAGGTGTCCGTTGTTGGAAGGTGTCCGTTGTTGGGAGGTTTCCTTTGTTGGGAAACGTGCGTTGTAGAAGGTTGTTCAATGTGGGGAGCTGTTCATTTACCAGAGACAATTTCTGCCAGGATTTGACTACAGGAAAGGGATTTCGGGACAATTGCTCCTTGTCCGTTGATAGAATGTGTCCATGAATGGATTTTTCTGCTAATGAAGGATTGACTGTGAAGTGAACAGCGAAGATTGGTTGCAACTTCAAAGCCATTTGATAACGTCAGTCACTAGATCCTGCTTATAATATGTCGAAATGAAATTCAGACATTCTGCGAAATTGAAAACAGTTATATTATGTAAAACATTGACTAGTGTTTTGTATTAACAAATCTTGTTTGCAGTATTAAAGGTTAATACAACCATGGGTCATATTCACTTCTTTTTAATAATGCTCCTCCTAATTAAAAAGCTGTTTGGTTATTGGAAAAATTAGTCAATAATATAGCATGGCAGACGAGCTCAAGGCCAAAGTGTCTGGACAGTTAAGGCTAAACCACTTGACTATGTTATTTGAAAAGCAAATAAATTTTATGCAAAACATAGAAAAGTTGACAAAAGTTTTTATCAACGACTAAACTGTCCCAAAAGCATAACTGTCAACAACTGAACTGTCACGAATAACCAAATTTTATACAATGTCCGTTGAAGGTAGGTGTATGTTGTAGAGAGAGGTGTCCGTCTTAGTGAGTTCTGCTTTGAAGGTAGGTGTCCGTTGTAGGGAGGGTCTTGTCGTAGTGTGGTTGATTTTATGAAAAGTGTACTTGATAGGGAGATGTCCGTTGTAGGGAGGTGTCCGCTTTAGTGAGTTGTCAGTTGAAGGGTGGTGTCCGTAGCAGGGAAATAGCTGATGCAGTTGTCCATTTAAAAAGGGTTTTTGTGCCAGAATTTGCCATTTGGAAAGAAGCTTTGGGACAAGGCTTTATATCCGTTAATGGGAGGTGTCCATGAATGGACCTGTCTACAAACCAAGGATTGCCTGTAGAGGTGAACAGATCACTCATTGATAGCAATTTCTAAACCTTTTGATGCCGTAATTGACCAGGGCCTGCAAATGATATGTTGGAATAAAGATAAGAAGTTTTGAGAAATTAAAAAACGGTTATATTGTGTAAAACATTGATCAATGCTTGGTATTAACAAATCTTGTTGGCAGTATTACTACAACCGTGGTTCATATTCACCTCTTTTTAATAATGATTTTCCTGATAAAAGAGCAGTTTGGTTATTGGAAAAATTAGTCAATAATATAGAATGGCAGACGAGCGCAAGGCCAAAGTGTCTGGAACAGTTAAGGCTGAACACATTACTAAGGTCTTTTAAAAGCAAATAAATTTTATGCAAAACATTGAAGAGTTGATAAAAGTTAGTTTAGAGCAGAGCCGTTACTACGGGGATATGGGTTGCTGTTGGAGCTGTGACATCCCCTTAGAAACATTCCATTGTAAAAGTGCTTCGTCAGAAATTTTCAGATTTGTCGGTAAATAAAAGAGTGTTCACCAACTTTGTCGGCAAATGGGATCTGAGCACCCCAACCCCTTTAGCGACGGCCTTCAGTTTAGAGATTTCTATTGACGAGTAAACTGACTGTCCCAAAAGCATGACTGATGAATAGCCAAATATTATGCAAATAATATTTGTTTCACTTTGTGATTTGAAATATTAAGGAAACCTGGGGTGAATTACTTTAGTATCATTCCTCTTCACCTTTTCTGTATAAAGCAAGAATGTTTTATAGCCCAAAATGCAGTAAGTTTTAAGACAGAAACTGTTTAGGATCAGAAGGTTGAAGTTTCAGCCTGTTCTGCACGTTACTCCTTCATAGATTCAGTTGTTCTTCCAGGAATGTGATGAAAGAGGACTGGGGGCATGTGATTTGGAGAGCTTTTCTTTTCCCAATCAGGCAAGGCTCCCCCCCCCACTTTTCGCAAAAAAATGCCAAATATCAAGTAATAAACTCCCTGTAAAGCCCCCTTTTATACGGTTTTAGCCCCCCGCTTTTTTTAGACCCCCCACTTTTCTTAACACTCCGCGGTGCCTGACAATAGGGTACTGAATAATAGTAGGAAGCGACAGATACGTTGCTAGTCTCTCAGCCGCTGTTAGGCTGTAGCCCCCACCCCCTAACCCAACTACGTAATGTGCCCCCATTTTTCTAGAGCCCCCTACTCTTAAATATGCTCCATCGACCTCTCTAGCAATGACACATACTTCTGAA